AATTTGTAATTAGAATTTGAATATACTAAATTAATATTTGATACAGTATAAATTTTTAAGTTATTTAGGATATTGAAATATATATTTTTTAATTATTTTTTTTCGAATATATAAATCATCCTATTAATCCTGAAATATAAAATACTTGACTTAAATTAATTTATCCATATAACGGCCAAAAAAAAAAATAATTAATCCATATTATAATGAATATGATGTAAAATTCAAAAATAATTCCGGTGCTTTCCATCAATTTCACAAAAAGCCATAGCCAATGGACACTCTTTCAGGGCTTGCTTTGCTTACGAGTTCTTCATTTACAAAATTCTCTCCCCTTCCTTGACCTCAAAGACCACCACTTTCCAGAACAAACCCAACTGTCTTTGTCTTGAAAACAAGCTCTTGTTCAGGTAACCTCTTCACATTGCACTTTGTATTATACCATTGGGTTTTAGTTTCTTGGTTTTTTGGGTCATATTTGGTATGGGATTCTTTTGAAGTTCAAGTTTTCTTGGCTTATGTATGGACTTTACTATGTCAAGGACTTAAGAAACAAGAATGCTTTTTGGGTTACCAAAGAATCAACTTTTTGTTGAGAAAGTTTTTCACCTGAGGAAAATTAAAGATTGATGTTTTCATGGATCTACCATTTTCTTTATGATGAATTTTGATGTTAGATCATGATAATGGCTACAAATTGCACTGAATTATATCTAATACCCCACCATTGTGTTTCATCTTAGAGGTCTTTCTGGATATAGTGTTTTGAGTGTGAAGTAGGTTGCTGAAAGTCTTGCGGTAAGATCAAACGATCTGCTCGTATATATTAATTTAATGTTTTTGAATGCAATGCTTATGATCAAATGAGTTTGTACTTGCAAGACATAACCCTCAGCCTTCCATTTTCTTTGTTAAGCCAAATAGCTTCCAATCAATTAAGTCAGACGAAAGTAAAATTAAATAATTAATTAATTATAAAAATAATAATAATTTAATATAATTCGATTTAATTGATTTACGTCTACAGATAAGAAATAAGATTCACTAATTGTAAAAAATTATAAACATACATCAAAATATATCAATCACTCAACAATTAATACCTATAAACCCTCTCATTTTCCTTTAGTCTTATAGAATGTTTTTAATCCAAACAAACACTTACCCATGTGTACCCTTTCAACACAACTAAATACATACCTATATATAATTATACATCATACTTATATAGACTTTCTCAGTCTCCTCTAGTCCATTTTTAAACATTCAAACATTCAAACATACACACCCATAAGACGTAAATTTTCAGTACTCCTATAAAGTGTTTATCCCAAAAAACTTATAACTCTTTTACATTTTTTTTCATATTTAACCCTACAAAAATTTCACATATTTATAACCAAACAAACTTGCCCATTAAGAATCCATTTTCTCTTAAAAATTTTTTTCTGCAAGTCTTCTTGTCTATCAATTAATATCTAACAAATCTCAAACAAATCTCTTATGAGATTTGAGTCACTATTTCTAATAATCTTCACTAGAGTTGGCAGCCCAATCCGGCCCCGATGGGTTTCGACCCGACCTGACATCATAAGATCATTTTTTTTTTTTGAAAATTGGGTTTCAGGTCGGGTCGAGTGAAATATTGTTAAGAAAAAATCAAGATCGGGTCAAGTTCAAGTTTTAGACAAACTCGAACTAACTCGATATTATATAAAAATTATATTTTTTTAATTTTTATTTATATATATTTATATAATTATATAATTATATATTCATATTAAAAAAATAATATTTTATTAATTTCGGGTCGGGTCGGGTTGAGTTCAGGTATAAAAAATGAAAAAAAAAAATCAAGTCGGGTCGGGTTCGAGGCGAGCAAAAACCCGTCCTGACCCAACCTGTTGTCAACCCTAATCTCTACCTTGACTCGAATTCCATCAAATCACATGTCTTTTTGCTAGACATACTTGACTCTACCTGCAATGAAAGTCTCACAATCGTCTTCTCTTGTGTGTTTTCACCCTTCACATAAACATATCCTCAAAACACGAACTCGAACTTCTTCTTTAAATCAAGCTCCTTTAAGCTTGCTTCTTCTCATGACTCGAACCTTCAACTCTTTTCACTTTTCAAATCATGCTCTGATAACACTTGTTAGGAATCACTACAACTCTGATACCACTTATTAAGTCAAATAACCTCCAATCAATCAAGCCAGCGAAAGTAAAATCAAATAATCAATCAATCACATAAGAGACAATAATTTAAAGTAGATAGGTCCAACTGACCTACATTTATGGATGAGAAACAAGATCTACTAGTGGTAAAGAATTACAAATATACATCAAAACATATCAACCACTCAACAATCAATACCATAAACCCTCTTAATCTCCTTCAATCTTATGGAGTATTCTTAAACCAAACAAACACTTACCCATATACACCCTTTAAACATAATTAAACACATACCCATATGTATCCATACATCATACTTATGTGGATCATCTCAATCTCCTCTAGTTCACTCATAAACATTCAAACATATACACCCATAAGACGTAAATTCCTAGTATTCTTATGGGGTGTCTATCCTACCAAAACTCTATAACTCTCTTATATCTTTTTCTCATCCTAACTTACAAAGACTTCACCTATTTATAATCAAACAAACTTACCTATTAAGAATCCTTTTTTTTTTTAAATTTTTTTGCAAGTCTTTTTGTCCATCAAGTAATAACTAATAAATCTCAAACAAATTTCTTATAAAATTTGAGTCACTATTCCAACAATCTCCACTTTGACTCAAATTTTATCAAATCATCTGTCTTCATGCTAGACATACTTGGCTTCACCTGTAATGAAAATCTCACAATTATCTTCGTTTGTGTGTCTTCAATTTTCACGCAAACCAATCCTTAAAACACGAACTTGAATTTCTTCCTTGAATTGAGCTCCTCTAAGCTTGACTCTTCTCATGGCTCGAACATTCAGCTCTTCCCACGTCTCAAACCATGCTCTGATATTACTTGTTGGGAAATCAAAATGCACACGCAGCCCCTATGCACAAAATAGCAAACTCAAATCAAGAATAAGAACACACAAATATATTTATTTTGGCCCAACTCAAAAATGGTCTACTCCAAATTCAATCTACTATCTAATAAATCTTTACAATTGAGAGACTTTTAGAATGAAAAAATTACCAAAAATTTTTTACTCAAAACTTAATCCAAAAATCAAATACACCATTTTAATAGCCTATTCATTTAGCTATTCTCTTGGTGTCTAACTATTTGGGATTACCAAATCAAAACCAAAACATCTTATTTATAAGAGTGAAACCCTTTATACCTTTACTAAAATCTCAATATGAAATACAAAATAAACTCGAACTCTTATAATTTCACTTAAATTTCAATGTGGATTATGAGATTCAAGGCAAAGCCCAGCATTTTTGTGAGTTAGGATAAAATACATCATTTTAATAGCCTACTCATTTAGCTATTCTCTTGGTGTCTAACTATTTGGGATTACCAAATCAAAACCAAAACATCTTATTTATAAGAGTGAAACTCTTTATACCTTTACTAAACTCCCAATATGAAATACAAAATAAACTCGAACTCTTATAATTTCACTTAAATTTCAATGTGGATTATGAGATTCAAGGCAAAGCCCAGCATTTTTGTGAGTTAGGATAAAAAAATTGAAACTTATCTTGCAATATTTATGAGAACCTGCAACCTATTGGAAGGGAATGTGTGGACCAACCACATCCATCTGTGATATACACCAAAGCAATGCCAAATGTTACAGTGACATGAATAATTTATCATGTGATGCTCTTTTGTGGAATTTAATGAATTTGCATGTGTAAGCATAGAAGCAAAATTTTACCCAGGCTAAATTAATTACAATTCTCTCTGGAGGAAAAACTATAGTAGTCCATATAAGTTGATTATTGTTGCAATTTAGTCTTTTTGACATTTGAGGCGAAGGCCTAAATATGCTCTTGTAAGATGATAGAATTGGGGGATGCTCATGCGAGAAGAGGAAGGGGAAGGAAAACGTGTAGAAAGTATGAAATAGAACCATGCTTTTACTGGTCATATTCTATATAGAGTACAATGGTATAAGATCTATGTAGCCCTACCAACTAGCCAGAAAAGGCTGTGTTGGTGGTTGTTGTTTTTGTTATTTTGATGTATAGTAAGAGTATTTTGATAGTTATTAACTTGTGTGCAAAGACATTAAGGTTTCATTTACTTGTGCATGGACATGTACTTTTTATTTTAAAATTGTCTTTTCTTCCTCTTCTTCTTTTTTTTTTTTTTGCAGAGGCATATCTATGGCGACCAGGGAAAAAATGTCCAAAATTTTCCAGATGACAATGGTTTGACTGTCAATCCTGCTTATATACAAACTTGGCTGGATCTTTTATTACGAACACGTCGAATGGCTCCATTTCTTTCAAAGAATGACCCTTTTGTCATGGTATTGAAAAAGGTTTATCTTCATTCCTTTTCTTGATCTTCTTCTTTATGTTTCTTGTTTCTTTCTTTAAGATGATTGTTTACACTCTAAAAATTGTATTGATTTTCCTTGGAGTTGAATTTAGGTTAAAAGAATCCAAATGAAGGAAAATCAAATAATGATATTGAAGATAAGGAGATTGTCAAATGTCTTGGATAAGTGCTTTTCCAATTGGGAATTTGATGAATTGCTTTTATGAAGAAAACTTGCAAGTACCACTAATCAGAAGCAAAAGTAAAGGAAAAAAGTATGTGTATTTCATTCTAGGTTGCGTGCAGCACTTCAAACTTTTACTCTCTTCTACCAATTGGATGAACTTTCATCTATCTTCATTGGTAAATATAATTGAACAAACTTTTGGATAGGGATTTATGGTGATTGGGATTTGGGATTGATGGAATGAAAAATTTGCTCAGGGGCTTTTGCTTTATGCAACTATGGAAACCTGGTTCGCGGTTGCAGCATCAAACTGAGCTTCCTCTTTTTCTATGCTAGTGTCAACCTGTAAATCAACCTGGTTTGTGGAAGCTTGCTATAACTTGGGTTAAGCAAATTTACTATTATCATAACTGTCATAACGTGTAAATCTAATAACTCAGATGATAATAACATGAGTTTATGATAATAATATGCAGGTTTGAAAATAAAATCATTGGTTAAAATAAACCTTTTCAGGAGGTAGCTGCTTGCTAATCCTTTCATAGACGTTTTTTTTAGACTTCCACATATTCGCACGTCAGTATTTTTCCGAAATGTTCTACTAAAAGGAGTGGGAATGATTGGAAGTAAATCACATACCTATAACCTATCATTGCCACCAAGAAAAGAAGGATAGAAGAAACCAAATTGTCTACAAAACCATCAAAGATCCAAATTCTAGCTCATTTGAGTACAAAATTTCTCAGAACAGTGACAACAATGTACCTTTTCAACCTCTTCTGACAGACCGAGCACAAACATTATTCAACTCTTTCTATCTGCCAATTCATTCAATGAAAGCTGCTTTCAAACAAGAAACAACCAACTTTGAATGTGATTTGCATTCCATGGCTTCAACTTTGTAGTATATTCATGACAACGAAGAAATACCAAAATCACTCATCAGCTCTGCGACTAGGGGTCCTGGCCTCATCTACAAAGATAGCACGTCCATCTAGCAACTGCGAGTAATTACAATTTATCAATATTTGAGTTTCACAATTTGAAACATGCAAAAAAAATTAGCAGCACCGGAGCGGAACGTATACATCATTCACATCAAAGGTAAAAGGTTCATCGATCATCATGCAGAAGAGTGAATTGGGGAAGTCAAATAAAGGAAAAGAAATGAGAAAATGCAACATTTACCTGCCCATTCATAACTGTAAGTGCTTTTCTGGCTTCAACCTCTTCAGCAAAAGTCACATAGCCAAAACCTTTTGATCTGTTTCTAACTTTATCCATTATTACCTTGGCTAGAAAAGAAAAATAACTAAATAAATTACTAGTGCTCAGCAGGGAATCTAGAAGCAACATGTTTCTAGAAAGGCTTTAATCGACCTAGCTTGAGTATAAGAGCCCTAGAACAGTCTAAAAGGCTTGTAATAGTCAAATACTTGGATCCTTAATGACCACATATGTCATGAGGGCTCAATTATAAATAGAGGTGCCCTCCCCACATTTGTACAAGATAGACATTGATAGAGAACACGTAGAGTTACGAGAAGAACAATTGTACATTCATCAAGTAAATAATACACTTTGGCTTAAACTCTCTTCTTCCTAGTTTTCTATAAACTCTTAGTAAGCTAGTTGAGTGTACAGCACAAGAGCTAGGCACCTAGATGCACATTGTTTAGGAAAAGCTGACTTAGGCATACTGAACTGCAAGTAGCTAGGCTTAAGTTCTCAGCCGTGACAAGAACTAACCTTTGATTCATCCAACTCGCTAAGCATCCATTAGTTAAAAAAAGTTAAATCTTATCAGAAAAAGCAAACATACCTTCAACTACTTTGCCAAATTGTGAAAATGAATGAGCTAATCCCTCATCTGTAGTAGAGAAAGAAATACCTGCAAAAAAAATCTTCTGTTAAATATGGAGAAAGAAATAACTGCAAACAAAACCTTCTGTTAAATAAGATCAAAAGGATCAAGAAGTGGCAACATGTCCAAAGAAATAGCTTCCAACATGAGATTAAGTGTTCTGCAATCATTCTTTACAAATTGTATTTTTACCCAAAAAATAAACTAAAAAATATTAAATCTATCATTTCTGCATAAAAACAAACGTGTGTGTTTTTTTTTATTTCGTCAATATCAAAAATTTTAAAATTTAACAGTATAGGGTTTTTATCAAATCAACATTATTTGTAATGGAAGACACCATTATACTATTGTTAAGTTGAAAAAGGAATACCTTTGACGAAGAGAGTAGAAGCGAAACCTCTGAAGAAAAAGAGTTGGCATGGATTGCTGCTTGAATGATAAACATATTTCAGAAAGGTTCCACCTCCCATTGTCGCCGCCAGTTTTAATTTTCTTCAAGGGAATTGGAAAATGAAAAAAGTTGGAGAACAAAAATTTGTCTTACTAAATTTGTTTTGTTTGGGCTTTTTTTTTTTTAATTTTAGGCCACAATTGGATCGGGTTGAATAATCAGTAATTACAAAAATGTAAATGAATGGGTTGTCAAGTTGGTGACCCAATTCCAACCCAAAATCTGCCACACCTGTTGTTACTCATTTGCCTGTATATTATTAACCTATGGTTGAAAAATTAGTGATCCCATTTGTACCCAACTTTTGTCACACCTGTTTTTACTCATTTGTCTATATTTTATAAATTTATGATTAAAATTCTATGGATTTTTTTTACAATATTAAACCTTGAAGAAAAAAAATAAAACTAATGCTAGAACTCTGCTTGTTGGGCTTTTAAGAAGTAAACTGTGAAGTTAAAATGGTTCAACCTGTTGCAATGCTTACATGACGAATACAAATCATTCCAATTATTTTTACTTTTTAATTTTTTATAAAAAATTACATATTACAATGCTTGTTATTATACGACCAACCAATTCTTTAAAATTAAAGGATTCGAAAAATCAAACCTTTTCTACAACCATTAAAAGGAGCTTTATAAATTTTGCATCTAATTGAATTTTGAGAATATAAATTTTTTTTCGTAAATTATTAGAATCCAACTCATCGGACTCACACTTTCCCAAATCTTCAGTTTCTAGTCTGAAGTCAGTAATGGAAAGAAAACCTATACTACGGGAGAGGCGTTTTTCTATTGAATGGCACATGGTTGTGCATTAACAAGCAAAATAATAATAATAATAAGAAAGGAATATTGTATCACTTCTTTTTCTATGCTGAATGAAATTGCATATGAATCCTTTCCTGGAGAGAGTCCTATAAGTAGAAGGCAGCCAAGGGATGCAACTAGTCTAAGCTTTGCATCTTGTAATATTCCGTCCTTTTCTTTAATCGGAACTTCCTGAAGCTCCTATCTATGAGCAGAAGCATATGAAGATCTAGAGCTGAGTCTTCCTTGATAAGCCCAAGGAAATAGAAGGAGCAAGGCTTTGAAAAAGTTCCCGCGGGTTCGTTTAGGAGACTAGCTTTTTTTTTTGAGAATTCCTTTAGTAGGTTCAGGTGTTTCTGAAAGCTAGTTCCTGAGTTCCTGACTTCAGAAGTGTAGCAAGGAAAGCTGCTTTGAAAGCTGTCCAATCGCTCTAAACCAGTTGTTGAAGTGAGTTTAGGTCTTTCCGAGTTCGGGTCTTCTTGATTTCATTTAGGAGTGAATGAGCTAAGCCAGATCGCTATTCCTGACTTGAGAGTCTTGTTTTCCTTTTAATTTTCTTGTAAGGAAGCAAATCAAAGGGATGCGCGTTACTAGGAGCTAAAGATAGCATTCCCTTAATAGGAAAATCTTAGTGCCTATCAACCCTTACAAGAGAGCTTCGCATTTCCTAATCCTGATATTGGGAAGTTTCCAGTAGAGCAGAAAGGCTTAGCTCAAAGACTTGAACGAGCTTGTTGGAGGAAATTGATCAAAGTCAAGGGTCGACCATAGGGGGAGAGTGATACAGGTAAGGCTTCTGCTAGTGCAACAGATGGTTGACAAATGCTCCGACCGTTACAGATTGAAAATTGGGCGATTGCCTGCCCATGGTAGAACCATGCTACCTTCCTTAACCTTTCTATAAGCTGGCTAACTAAGGCCTACGGACCGATTACCGGGCAGGAGACAGAAGGCAGAAGACCTCTAGTCGGGAAGGGAAAGGGAGCACCGCTTACACAAGCACTAGTACCGTCTAAGCATCCCACAGCTGATGAAATAGTACCGGCAACTGTAAGAGCTTCTACGATCAGATCTGCAGCTCTTTCTGTAACAGCTTAGGGTGGATTGGTTTGAATAGCCCTATTGACCAGGAGAGTCAGCATTACCGCTCTTTCCTTTTCCTTTTAGAGAATCGACTGTGAACTCTGGTCATGGCATGGGAAGCTGTGCTATCCTTCCTTATTATTTATAGTTGTCGTTTTGATCCCCGCTAAAGGTAAGCAGGGGAGATCTTTGAAGAGCATCCAATCCTGATCTTTTCACTTTCGAGATCGAAGAATCATAGCTATCAGTGCATTAGCAAAGCAGACCCAGAAAGAGACAGTACGGGAGAGTTCTTCTTTTGCAAGAATGGCCATTACCGCAGCTTTGACTCTGTTGCAGGAAGGACTACTTGGAGTTCCATACCATGAAAAATGGAAATGGCTATCAGTTCTGACTCTCCTGACCCGAGGTAAGTAGTTCGGCTAAGCCGGAAGAAATCATTTGGTAGAGGCACTTTGACACCATGCAAGGACTACGAAGAATAAAATGCCACAAACTAAACCAAATGGTTCAACACAAAACCATGATACTTGACAATAATCTTTTTCTAAGCTATAAATTCATTTTATTAACTTGGAATTTAGATCAACACATCTAACTGTCTGATGTGCTTTCAGTGAATAGAGATTGTTTTATTTTTACCAAGGCTACAACATTAGCACCCTAAAGAAACCGATGCTATGAAATTATATGGCGCTCTACACTGCCTGGTACTGATTTTTTGCACTAGTCTGTGATTCATTCTGTTGCCTTGCCTTTGCGTCTGCTGCTACTGCAGGTTTCTAGGAGGTAATAGACCATGGAATCTACATCATCCCCGAATATGCTATAAGCTTCAATTGCCTGCAGATAAGTGAATCCCATTGACAACAGTAATTGAATGCCATTGCTGAGAACACTATCCTGCAAACCATGCTCTTTTGAACCCTCCACTTTGGTTTCACTGCCTGATGGCCCTGTTCATAAATGATACAGCAGGTTCATTTTCACCAGACTCTCAGTGAACACAACACTACCATTTCAAAATCTCTAGGATACTTACTAGCTCCAGATGACGATGGTTCAGCGGTGGAAGTAGATGATTCTTTACAGCCCACTTGCGGCTTAAACTTGTCATTGGCAAGGTACTCAGCTCGAGAAGCTTCCATAACCATTCGCTCAATTTCCTTCTCAGTAAGCTCAAGATCAGAGTAAAATCGCCCCTCAGCTAGGAGTGCCTGTTGGTATACAGTATAAAAGACAGAGAGAGCTTCTGTTAATAACATATCATCCTATACAGATACTAAAAAAATTAATTACAAATTATCAAAATACTTGCATTATCAATCTGTTGGTCTTGTTGAGCTTTAATAGCAGCCTTGACTTGATCCTTGTCCACATTTGCCTGCACAGCAAAACACAGTCAGCAACATAAATCCGGTTTGATATTCTAATTTATTCAAACTCCATGTTCAAATTTTGTTTAATAACATGAGATGGCCAAAAGCAATATAGAATGTTGTAACCAAGAGACAAAGAAGCAAGGAAGTTAAAAAAAGGAAAAAAGAAACATATGAGAAAGAAAAGTAGACACACCCCTCGAAGACAGCTAAATCCAAGCCCGGCACCAATTGTCAAACGACGTGGGTCAACAAGAGAATTATAATGATTTCCATGATGGTAGCTCAGCCTAATGGGAGGTGTGTCAGTATTATAGCTTCCATGAAATATGTTGATAGGTTCTGCAGCAAACAAAGTTTCGCCAGTAGAAAGTAAGAAGATGGTAGAAGAAGTAAATCAATATCAAAACCATCAATCAAGTATACCTATGCTGTAGGAATAGATATGAATAGGTCTGTTATACATTTCTGATAAGGCTTGAATCTCCACATTGTTCCCATAGACCTGTATCCAAGAAAAGATAAAAGAGATTCTTTCAAACCATTTTACTAGACAATGTGCTTATCAGGTAAAAAGAGAAGAGAATAGACAATGAAAAGGTTTGAGTAAACAAAATAGCAGTGGGATAATTGAGAAATTACTTTGGGTGAGGAAGAATGGATCATCTAGAATTGATGAGCTACTAGTATTTAACACTCGTGTGAAATTGAAAACCAAATAATGATATATGCTTAGTAAGAAATATGATACCAATGCAAGATTCATGTAAGAACATTAAGATAGCATAATCAATTAAAATGCCACTGCATACCTTATCTCTTCTTTTCCTCTTACAGTAAGATGTAAAACCTTCTGTTATAAACTGAGAAAAGTGATCCCTCTCTCGCTCCTGGATGAACAGTTAAAGATAAGCATCCATCACAAAAATATTCCAAATCATGTCATTCAAGCACCACAAAATGAATATGATTGAAGACCCCAAAGTAATGCAGGTTAAAAGATAATGAAGAAATCTAGGAATTATCTATACTTTAAAACAAATTAAAAATATTACACTGATCCAAAACCATCCTATACCATTAAAAAGTTATAACAAAAACAAAGCATGCATATTTTTAATCACATCAAATATTTAATCTAGCTTAAATTTATAACAGACAACAAACGCCACACAATGTGCCAACCCAACAAAGAGACAAGACCACCCCTTGTTCTACAATTATCCTAGATCCTATTTATATTTGATGCCTCAACATGAAGTTTCTGAAGTCGACAATCACACACTTCTGCAACAGGCAGACAACCAATTATATGCGTTTGAGGAACATTTTTACTTAAGATTCAACTAACAAGCTTAACAGTGACCAGAAGGGTGATACCTAGCACTTAGAAGAAGACGATGTATACCAAAGATGTCTCATCTTAAGTACATGTTGATGAACCCAGTGACTTTCATTCATCCCTAAAAGCCTAGTGTCGATCAAGGCAGATACAGTACTGTATTGCCAAACAAATATAAAAAGTTTTATCATCACCACTGAAAAAGCCACACGTCAAAACTCTAAGCTAAGTAATGACGCTATGATAATTATTATATATCAGAATTCACGGCTCAGAATTTTGATATTTTAAAAAATTACTTGAGCGAAACTGGGATATTCAGCCTTAATTTTACTTCTTTAATTTTGGCCTGCCATATCAATGGAACCTTCCCTTTCTCCATATTCTTTCTTGGATTTTCAAATCATCTCCCGCATCTAGGAAATATGAGGCCCAAAACATGCAATTAGTCAAACTACAACACCACTCGAGTTAATACATCATTAGAAACTTCAACTCTCTAATCAAGCGTAAAAGGGCTTGGGGCGCTATAGTTGGACCATGTAGCCAAACAAAATCAAATAGCAATCACTAAATTCCATCTTCTCTTTTCTCAGAATATGGTTTTTCTGATTCTAAGAAAATTTTCACCAAACTCTTTCATTCAGTTTAAAATTAGCTAGTCATAGAGTGACCTCTGGCACATATAATAACAACAATAATATTTTACACTGCATAAATTTCAAAAAAAAAAATCAAGTATCAGAAATTCATACCATGTATTCAATGCACATTTGTCGAACCGAATCATAATCTTCAGAGTCCCCATACACTTGATCAGCGACAGCTCGGAAGAGGCAATTTCCATCTTCTAGCATCCATTTGACTTCTAAACCTTTTGCTCGTCTAATATCAATTTCAAATTGGCGTTCCCTTTCCTGGACCAGATTCAAAAAAACAGTTTCAAAAGTGAATCTCATGTCAAAAATGAAACCACAAAACTCAGCCATAACTTAAGGTCAACACTTCTTCAGAAAGAACATTAAACCTACAGAACATTCCATTCAAACATAAGAAGACAACATAAATTACAAGTTCAACATAAAAAAACTTTGAATACGAATGGATAAAAGCATTCCGCACCCACAAAAGAGAAAAGTTCGCTTATTCTTGTAATAACAGTGGTAGTGGACTATTATATACAAAATTCAAGAAGAAGGTGACCAATTAAAATCAACCAAGGTGGTCTTCAAAAAAAATTGACATGGTACAATAGCACATAATGATATTAGTTTTTGCAGGCCAATAATATGAAATTTTCCATTCTAGATTTTTTTTGCACCTTTAAAAGTGAATTATTACCACACAAAACACAAAGGATTTGATTATTTAGAATAAAAAAACTTACTGCATCATCATAGGAGGATACGAAGCATGGGTTCTGCTCATCAGCACTATTGTAACCCTCACTCTCACCATGAGATCTAGGAGAAGAAGGCCGCGACCCAGATGGTGACGACCTTGTTGAAACAATGGGCCAGGCAACAGTTCTTCTAGATGATCCGGCACGAACAGTATTTGAACCTCCTGAGACAGATCTTCTTGAATTTGAATTTGTTGCTGAAGGTTTAGGAGGTGGAATAGGAGGTGGAGGTGGAAGTGGACTTCCACTGCCAATTGGTAAGGGATCACAACTTGAACTTTCAGTTTCGGCCAAAACTTTTTCTGAAATCTTCAACCCACCCAAATCATTCATCATATCCCATGGACCCAAGGGATCAAGAGAGTGTACTTTCTCAGCCTTAGCAATTGCCTCACTTGAAGTTTCATTCCGATCATTATGCAAGTTCTCTAGCAAAGAATCATCACTTTTCACAGCCTTATTTTCACTACTCCTGGAACACTCTAAAAGCTCATCTGAAGTAACTTGTTCCTGCACTTCCTCACTAACTTCCTCATCTTTCCCAGCCGAAGGAACTTGATGATTAGAAACTTGTAGCTCTGCCCGAGATGAAGACGGCCCAGGCAAGGAAGAAGAAGGAGTTGGATTTGAAGAAGAGCTGCCAGTGGAACCTCGTTGAACCCAAATGCGAGTCATTGTTTTTGACGATAACTATTCTCAATAAGAAAACCTAGCCCTAATTCCTCCTTCCAAAACCCCCTAAACTTAGAGAACAAGAACCCTACTCATAGGCTTGTCACGCGTTCTTGCCACGGGCGTGGTAATGCCAATCCCTTCGCTGAAGGATTTGTTCCCGCCCAGCACGTTCACCTCCTCACGAAACAATCTCTGCATTCCCCTGCCAAGTCTCATGAGACCCAGACCTCGAACTTTAAACAATAAAACCCTCAAAGTACTTGAATTTTTATACCCAGAAAATTTCCAAAAAATTTCACCTTCACTAGCCCAAGCTGCATTCAACAACCATCCAAATTTCCAAGAAAAAAATCAACCAAAAAATGAAAACTCTATCTGCCAAAAATTTTGTTTGCTTTCCAAGAAAAGGTCGGAAATTTCTAAAGGTTATCTTATGAACTCAAAAACCCTCTATTACCATAATATAATTAAGGATAAAGAAAAAAATTTCAGTAAAATAGAACCAATTAACTAACTTGACTTTCCGGAAGAGAATCAACGCATTCTCTAAAATTAAATTACTTGAAAATTTTTGTTTTTGGTTATTTTCCTACCATTTCTTGGCAACCAACCAAGCAAGCAAAAAGGTAACTAAAACAATAAAATGAACTCCAAAACACAAAAATCAAGCAATTCCCAAAACCCCAAAAGAACCAATCCCTAACAAAAGATCAAGAAAGACCCCGAAACCAAAACCGATCAATAAACTTAAAAAAAAAAAAAAGAGAGAATAAATTAAACCCAATATTCAAAAAATATCCAAAACTTTGACTCATCAAGACTTAAAACTCACCTCTAGAGAAAGAGAGAGAGGCTTTGGAAACCCAGTTGAGATCTGCAAAATAAGAAATAAAAACAAAACAAAAGAGGGGTATTTATTTCGCTGTTAGGGTTTTTGAAGAAAGGCAAAAGCCCAAAAGAAGATAACTTGGTGGCAAAGGAGAGTATTTTGACAGAGAAATAAAGCAAACGAAGAAAAGAAATGTAATTTTACCGTTCATTTTATTATGTAGAGAAAAAGTCTCTTTTTAAAGAGGAAAAAGAAGAGGGAGAGAGAGAGAGAGAGAGAGAGAGAGATGGGGTGCGAAGACCACCGTTGGCGGAGATAGATGACGTGGACGACTGCTGGCTCGTCGTCCAGAATCAGACACGTGGTGTGTTGGCCGAGTGTTTGAACGTGGAGCACGTGTGATATTTGACAACAGTGGTTAAATTCAAGAGAGTGAAGTGGCCAGGAATGATTGGGTGGAGGGTTATACATTTTTTCAGTTCCTGCGTCAGAAAGTTTCGGACTTGGATTCTTTTCTTTACTTCTATGAAATGGAAATGCAGCTGTTTTTTTTTGTTTTTTCCTTGTTGTAGTACAATAATTTTTTAAAATTGATGTCAAAACATATTTTTTAAATAAATTAAAAAATGTTGTTCAAGTAATTTTATTCTTTAATTATTTTTGGCATATCACAGCATTTAATATTTTTATTACAGCCATAGGTAATGTTTAAAAAGTTATAAATTAGAGAAATTTATAAAAATTTATGACTTTCGGTTGGTTTAATTTTGTTAGGGAAAATTATCACATTTTTAAGTGTAAAATAAATCGTGAATTTATAAAAAATTTTAAATTTTTTAATTTTTTAATTTATAAATCACCTATGATCGTAAAAATTGAAATATAAATACTTTACGGGTAAACTCTAAACCTTAACCACCAAGGTCAATCTTATTTGTTTCTTCATCGTCATCTTTAAGATTGTCCAATTCTTTTATAAAATATAACCAGAAAGAGGAAAAGGATTTGTGCAACTGCCGAAGATTTTGTACGGTAAAAAGTATATATATTATATAGTGCAACATTACAATAGTTTGAACATTTACAATTACACAAAAAGCAAATCATTCAACTGGTTCCACCCTTGCATTGAGAGGAACCAATCACAAACACTATTCAGAAGTCAATGGAAACCGAAAAGTGATCTTCCTTTCTTTTTATTTTCTCACCAATTCGACACTAAAAGCAGCAAAAATCACGACCCTGATGCCATAATTTTTAATATGGGAAGAGTTAGTTACTTGATTCCATTTCTCAGCTTCTTTTGAGAGCGAAAGCAGAGAGCACAATTATGAACATGAGGATGGCTCCTGCTATGAAGGATCCCACCACAGCTCCACTTACACTCTGGCAAAAGTCACCAAACTGCTGACAAATTGGAAGCCAATTCGTGTTTGGATTCCCATTATGAGCCAAATACACAACTGAAGCGGAAGCTGAAGCTGAAGCGATTGTTAGACCCGTCATCACCTGCAATATTAATCCAGGTTAGTGTTACAGTAACTACTCTATATACAAAAGTGAGAGATTTTGGAGATGATGAATTCATTTTACTATATCAAAGATGACAAGTAGGAGCCTTGGCGTTGTTGCAAAAGGACGGATGATGCAGATTATGGAGAATGGTAAGGAGAGGAGAAGATATCCGGCAACTATTGCATTTGCTATCACGAAAAACCTGTGTAATTCAGCAGTTGAGATAAGCAATGATCATTGAAAAGTAGTGTTTGTTTTTTGCGAAAGATTGTCACATGACAAAACGTACTGGAAATCTGGAATATCATTGTATTGAGCTTGGAACTGGAAGAACTGAGTGAAAAAAGGGAGAGTTTCATCAGTAGTCCCCATGGTAGCAGTTGCACCTAAGGCAGCCCCAATGGCACAGATCCTTAAAAGGAAGTCAGAAATAGCAATGCCTTTTTTCCATCCTCGTTTTGGTTCTTCGACTACAGCTTTTGAAGAGACCAGCAGAGGGGCCTTTCCTTTAGCACTGGCCTTTGTCTCTGAAATGTTGATTGATGTCTCCATGTAAGGATACGTTTGTTGTAGAGGTTTCTTCAAAGACAAATGGAAAATTTTGATATGAAAGCCCCTAGTAGAATGCTACATTAAATAGGAGAAAAAATTTAAAAAAAAATGTTAGTGGGTTAGATTTGTCTTTGATACATTTGATACTACCATCTAGCTTGTTGATTTTGGAGTTGTTTCCATGATCCTAACTTGCTCCACTTCGAATAAATTCATGCGAAAATGTAAAGGAAAAGATACTCGTATTATTTTTGCTGAAGTTTCTCAGTTGAGACATTCAGTATCCAATATGCCCCAATCACTTCCAGGGAGTGGTTGTATGCCTGACGTTCACCGAGTGGAACTGTTTCAAATGTTTTCATTCCCTGACGGCTGAGATCATACATGAATAAAGAACCAGCATAAAACCTGGTTTCCACTACTTAATTCTTATTCTTGAAAATAGTCTTTCATCACTCAGCACTGCTCTCGAATATCTGAAACCAAAAATGTAGTCTAAGTTGTCTAAGTTGTCTAAATTGGTAAGTTTGTGACCAGGGAGTTCATAAACACATTCTATCCTACACACAGAAACAGAACCGTCTTGAGTGTGATAATGCAATTCCATAGCAATATTTAGCCTCAAAATCTCAACAGAATGGCAGCACAGACTATATTAATGGTTTCTAAGCAATTTACAGAGAAATGATTTCTTTCCTTTTCCAACAGCTTAAAATGAGATCGATTTCATGGTCATTTCAAGTAGATAAAAGTGAGACATGTTGGCATGAGTAATGGTCAAATTTCATTTCATCAGATCTGTTGTACAGGTTTGTAAATCAAACTCAATCAGCAAATCAGTTTAATTTACAATATATATATATATATATAAAGAGAGAGAGAGAGAGAGAGACTTTTGAGACAAAACATTTACCGTACCCAGCCTCGAAATGGGATTTCAGTACCGATACAAAAAAGAAATATGCCTGCCCTCTCTTCATACTGTACAAGCCGCTTTAAATAGCTAAGGCTTTATTCTACATGCATCATATTTGAAAAACCCCGATGGGGAAAGAATGAATTTGAAGCCGGTGTTCCTATATGCTGTTCAACAAATCCCATTTTTAAGGCTTCAACTATCAAAGAAGATGGAAATCAATACTGTTTACAACTACAATTATCAACACCCTCATTATGGTCGAACCCTCCACCCACGCTCAGCAAGTGCTTCACGCACCTGACTTGCTGCTTCTGCTGTGTCATTGAGGGGTGGATAGCTCCAGCTTTCTGCAATCTAAAAGACAACCAAAGGAAATAATCCATATAATTAAATCCCAAAGGAACTTCATTACTTCATCTACCCAAGTTATAATGGTGGAAAGAACAGAATATGTTAGGAATTAGGTGAAGTTCAGTCTGCTGGTCAGGTGAAATATGACTATATCCAGTCTTAGGAAATGAAGTCAAAAGAAAGGGATGCAACAAAAGAAAATGAAAACATGCCATTGAATATTTACTTACATCTTCAGAACCTGTAAATGGCCGAACCATTCCTCGTTCCCTCAATGATTTATGGAAGTCTAATAATTTCCATTTACAATGCTCACCTCCCATAATATAGACAGGTTTCCTGCATGAAACCAACATAATGAAAGATAACTTGGTATTTCACTGAATAAAATAAACATCTCAGAAATTCAAAATGTTCTAGAACATTAGTAAAGAAAGATAAAGTTTTTCTCCACCATACCCAGTACTGCAAGCCTCACTTATCAGACTGACTGAATCTGCTGTGATAACAAAAGCATCCGCCCAAGCTAAATGCCCCATATGTGGATTTGGTTCTGAAGATTGTCATATTAAAGACCCATTAAAGATGTTCTATATTTCACTTGTAAATTTAATTTAATTGACAGAATATACCTTGACCATCCCAGATGTAAACTTTTGGATTATCTGCAAGTTTTTTAACAATGACTTTTGATACCTATTGGCAAAATTGACAGGTAAAAACTAAATAAAATTAGTCATCATAGAAGAAAAGTAAGAAAAAAATTACGAGTGAAAATTGTTATTTATTAAAACCTTTTCAGGTGTCCTACTGGAGAAAGATATCCGGACAGTCCCACAGCTTGTGAGGATACTGAGAAGAGAAGCAGTTAACTGCTTTGCAAGATCTGCACCATATCGACAGTGGCCTGCAAAGAATTTCAGTCAGCAGACAAAACAAAAATATATTAAACTTAGGCATAAGGACAAGAGCAATAACAGAATGAAAAGAAAAATAATCTTCATTCAAGTACCTAACTACCAAAAATTCAGATAGTTATTTAAGGTTAAGAGAAATGAGGCCCTTCTCCAAGTCATTCCTTTATCAAGATTCAAAAATGCTACATCATAAGGGAAGTTTACGAAGTATTACAACCATATAAATATTAAGAATGGAATTGTTTATATATATATATATATATATATATTAGCAAAAAAAATGAGGATGAAAGACCAAGTATGACAGCAATGGATGCATTATTTGTTAAGTAGGTGGCAATCATAAAAGCTAAAGATCCCTAACCAACAATAAGAGTTGTCAATATAATATGCATAAGATATAATCACACAAACCCCTTGTCCATATCCATAAGATATAATAACAATCTCCGAGCATAGTGGCAGGCAGACATGACATCAGTAATCAAGAGTAAATTCCTATGGGCTATATAAAACATTAGTCTCAAGGCAACATAAAAAGTTACTTGTCGGCCAGCCAATGTTAACCACCAGTAAGGGCTTTGGCAGAGGTGCAAACTCATCATGCCATCCAACAGCTGCACTGCGGACTGCAGCAGAATCAATTTGATGTAGAGCTCCCAAAGTGAGTACCTGATGCAAAAAGTTGAAAACAAGCCTACCTTCAGTAATAGACAGAAACTAGTAATTCAACCAAAGCCAGGGTTCCTAATATCAGGTAACTAAAATTTAGTAATATAGACTCACACTACATACCACATGCCTATCAGGAGGTTCACGTGGAGTAATCCACCTGTGAAGAAACCGAGGAACCTGCTCTTGTGCTTGAGGAGTTAAAGGATAGAAGTCGTGACGAGGGGTGATTACCAAATCAAACCTATTCAATTGTGACCTAGGGTGTTGTATCTGCCATTTAAAGAAATTGAAAAAACTGATATTTAGATATATAATTGAATAACGTTGTCATACTATGGAAAAATGCCAAAGAGTTTAACCACAATATGTAACAAAAGATTTAACTGACGTTAGGCTACAAGATCAAAAGCAATTAAGGATTGCACCAGCACAAGTGAGAGAGAGGGAGAGAAAGATAGGTAGTAGATACTACATGAATACAAGATGAGAGAGAGAGAGAGAGAGAGAGTTTTCCAAATAAAAACTTAAAGTGGCTTTTTCAACAATAAAACATAGGGCAGAAGTTTCTTAAGCACAAGTCTTTTGAATAATGCAATTTTCAATCTTCATTATTTCTAGTAAGCTCATACTAAGTTCATTCTAAAAAGCCTAGCAATGTATCAATAAAGATACGATACATTGACTACATCACCATAATGGAGCAGGTAGAATTTATATTCCTATTTGCTGGGCATAACCATAATAGAAATAAAGAAGGGGCAATACAGAATGTGTAAGTTGAAACAAAGTTAAGGTCCACTACATACCTGAATGACAAAAACATTCTCAGAGGCTAAACGTTTTATTGAACTTGCAATAGAAATGGTGTCTCTGCCAGATGCAACAACCAACAAAGGACCATCCCTAAACATTTATCAAATCATTTCAATAAGTACCCAAACGAAATAATCCAACAAAAGATGCCAAATTTTATACTTTAATAGTTAAACTTGCATTTAAATTATCAAGAAAATGATAAAATACCACTATTCGTTATCATTAGGGTGTGAATTCCAGTCCCATGACATTCATCTATCCAAAATATAAGAAGGTAGACTAAATCTTTCATGAGATGCAATGGCTTTAAACTGTGACTAAGCTAATTAAAAACAACTACTGCAATATCATTCAAACAAACAAAATGCAGGCATACGTTTCATGAAAAGCTATCCAGACTTGATAAATAGAAGAATTTTTCAATAGCTAAATTTTGAAAAAGAAAGTACTTTTCATAAGTCTGGCGTGCCATGGTTACAATCTGCTTCACATCAGCTTCTAAAACAGATGCCAAGCCAACACTACCACCACCATTTTCTAAAGGTAAAGGCACAAGTTTCTTTCCTCGGGAGTAAATTTGAATCAGCCGGATGAGATAATCCAACTTTTTGTGAAGACTAATTGGGAGCCAATGAAGCCACTCATTTATTCCTCCTCTAGGCCTCGTAACTCGCTGTATATATCAGTATAATGGATGATCACTTAATCATACAGTAATCATTTTGAGATTAATTCTAAATATCAGCATAAAAGCAAATATTTTCCAATAATCATTTGAAAATTTTATGGTAACAATTAACCAATAGCAAGAAAGTAACCTAGAAATTAATACAGCAAAAAAGCTAATTCAGTAAAAAAAATGATTTTTTTGAGGGGTGGTTGAATTTGGACTTACGTAAAGAACATGCTTGTCGGATAATCCGAGAGCTCGGACCAACCCGATACTCTGGTTCTCGGATCCAGGGGAGCCGTTTCCGATGACGACTGCGCGTCTGATAACGCTGTGCGCGCCACCTTCGAAAATCTCCGGCATCCCCATGGTGGGGCCGGGAGGTTCCGGAAGACGAATTGGTCTCATGGAATTTTGGAGTGAAAAACCCAAATTCTAAAATTCAAAAAATGGAAATCGAGTGATTGAAGAAGAAGAAAAAGAAAAGTAGAAGATGGCTTTGGCAACTGCAAGTGGTCAGGCAGTTTCCTTATTGTTTTATTAACTTCTTTTTTTTTAATTTAATTTAATTTAATTTTCTTTTGTTAGTCTCTTTTATTCTTCAATAAAGTTTTTTCTTTTACAAAAGGATTAGCAAATTTTAAATTTTAAACACCGGATAATAAAACTTGACAAAACTTTTCTTAGAAAAATCCAATTTTTTTTTATTTTTTATTAACAATATTAATTCAACATAAGTTTTTGTTAAACTTAAATTTGAATTGAGGTAACTTTCTCTTATCTAAATTTTTTTACGCATAAAGAACGAATTCACGAATACTATGGACCGTAGGTCTTACAATATTCAAAATATTACTAAATTTTTATATTTGACGTAAAAATATTAGCTAAGCTAAGTTTTTTTGTAAGAAAATCTCAAACGAGGGGCTATCACCAAAATTAAAATAATTATTTTTAATAAATTGTACAGGATTTAAGTGAAATTTTTTTATTACTATGTTAAATCTTTGAATAATCATGTTATATTAGATGTGCTAAAACATTTAACACTTTCTATAGTTGAAGGTTAATTTTTCAACATTTCATGTAGAAAACCTTAAAGTAAGTGAGAAAAGAACAAATTAAGTCATTAAATACAATTATTTTTATTACATTTGCTTCAATTATCTAGATTCCAATAATAATTTGTATAAATTATGTAAAATCCATCAAATTTTATATGAATTTATATGAACTCCATATCAATGAATTAGAAATCCTCTAAGATTTATAAGCTTCATAATTGTGATTAGATGACTGTATCAAACTTAGTGCAAAGAATTGTACTTTTGATTTTTTTTTTTTTTTTGGTTTAGGGCATTGCTCTAAGCTATGGCTCAACCAATGAATGTCATCTGAAGGCCATTGAAGCTTTGTTGAAGGACTTTGATTTCCAATGGTTTTTGCATTTTTTTTTTCATAATAATCTCATTTGACAGGGTCACATTCTGATGCTGCATCTTCAGGAATTTCCTGATGAGATTAATGCATTGGTTATTACAAATTTCACTTCATTAAAAGCAAGAAAGCCAGAAAACAGGAACCAGAAAGACCCCAAAGAAAAATTTTCCCACACTGATAAATGGTTTCTAGAGCTAGATTTCCCAACATTCTAACCAGAGGGACAGGGCATTTTGAAACAATGTCAAACCTGGAAGAATTCAACGCATGTACAAACAAAGACAAGCTAAAACAAGCAAGTTCAGGGAGAGCGAGCCTTGAGGAGAGGAAGCCACGCTAATAATAAGGATCCAGATCAAAGAAAGCTTGAAAGAAACCCCTAGTTCCCATTAAGTCAAGCTTCAGCAGAGTTTCCATACCGAAAGAGCAAAATTCTCTTGTACATCTCTTCTCAATTGGCCACAATCCATTCCATGCTTTATGGTACAGTGCCCTTCCTCTAATTATTCTTGTTGAACCAAGACATTCTGCAATAGTTTCAGCCACAACTGGAGCTATAGCCATTGTCCGAGCCACCATGTACCCTGTTGAAGGATGGACTACCCCAGAAATCCCACCTATAGCCATCACATTTTGAGGGATTCTAGGGAGAGGACCACCCATTGGGATCAAACACTTTTCAACTTCTATCACTTTTTTCACTCTAATTCCTAAATGCCTTAGCCTTGCTACCATCCTTCTCTTAATCTCCATATAAGAGAGCACCGGCCGACTAACCAGAGAAGTCTCTTCCAAAAATATTAAGCTTGAATCAAATGGCATCGCATATAGGAAAGTAGGAATTTTTGAATGTTAGCTCGTAAATATGGTTCATTTCCCAAATGTGAATCTCTCCAATCCGTAAGAACCATCTTATCCAATTCAAATGGATGATTATCAAACTCAGCCAAAATACCATGAGCAATCTGATGATATCCATGATTCCTAGGTTTATCATACTCTATAAAACTGCTAGCCAAACCACTAGCATCAACAATTAAGCTTGCCTTAAGCTGGCTACCATCATCACACTCGATAGTAAACTCGAATTCCTCGTGTTTCATTTGCCAAACCTTAGATTTATGGAATTTAACTGAATTTGAGATGCAATTCTCCAATCACTTTGTCTTAAGTTCCTTCCTAGAGACCCTACCATAAGGCCGGTCTAAATACTTGGTTTTGTGATCATCAATATACACACAAGTCATAGGCCATATTTTGTCTAAACAATCTACAAGTCCCAAGCTCTTAAACTCATCAACCCAGACTCCATAATTGTTAGGCCAAACAGACAGTGGCGAGGGATCAACACAGCATACCTTTATTCCTCCCTAGTGGGAGACTTGCTCGGCGAGCCGGAGACCACCAGGGCCAGTGCCAATAATGATCACATCAAAGCAAGGCCGATCGGAAGGGCTAAACCAAGAAAGATCAAAATCTAACCACTCGGGCTTTGACTCTGGTTTTAGGTCAAGGAAGTTACCAAACTTGCTACAGTTGATTTGATGGCGAGTCTTTCTTGATGTTCTTAAATGGGGTTTTGCAGAAGAAAATGAAGTTGTTGATGAAGGGAAGAATAGTTGATCCTTCCTGGTTGCAAAAGCCGATGAAAATGGCCTAACAAGGGTTCCCATGGTCTGAAGAGAAGTCTTTCTACCAAAGGAAGCGGACAACACTTTTATTGATTGGAAAAGGAGATACAGACAGAAAGGAATCCAGGAAAATCAAAGGCTAGAAAGATGCTTTTGTTTCTAACAGGTTTCACTACCTAATGGAAATTGACTGGTAATTTCACAGTCCATTTTCAGAAACTGTAACTCAGTCCACCAACCACGGAATGATTACTTAATCGTCTGTTGATTTGGTTTTCGTGGCATTTGAGAGAAATTTGGCTATCCATGTGAACTCTGTCATTTTGGACCCGTTATAAATGCCACTTACATAGGCTGGATGGGTTAAACAATTTTCAGGGCATATAGTTAGATAAGTAGGAAGGAAAAGCAATTATCTAATGATTTAGGCAAGTAGGACCCAGCCACTGATGTTTTTTTATACTTGGTTCAAGGCTTTTGTACTTTATTGGGGAGGTGGGGAGGCAAAAAACTATGCTTTTTTTTGGTATTATTCCCTAGATTGTCCAGTTCAGTGTGGGAAGGAAATGATTATCACTTGGCACCACCAGCTCCTTGTCCTGGATTCCGCTTAGATACCTAACATTATTGCAAATTGCAATACATACATTAAAATAGTCGATTAATTTCGATCATTCCAGCTATGTGAGAGAGGAGTAAAGAAAAGGACAAATATAAATACACCAGAACGAAAATGATGAACGGATGATTTTGTGAAGAAGCAGACAACATTATGAAGTTACAAACAAGCAGTTTTCATGAAACCCCCAAACAACAAATAATAGATTCGAAATTCAATGCATTTGCATAATACAAAAAAGATCCGCAACAACTAATGGCAACTCATTCTTCCAAGATAAATATATAGGTGATGTGCAGCAACAGCAGTGAAATATACATATCTTTTTGCAACCTTGAGCAGTATAGACACTATGTTTCCAAATATACATCGAAACGACGAATGGGAAACCAAGGAGGCTCCTAGGGACAAACTTGCACATATAATCTTGAAGATAAATGCATATCTCAGCAGAAATTTGAACCAATAAGACTGCCACTCAGGATCTGCATGAAGGTAGAGTGATGCCACCACAGCAAACGGCAATTATTATGTATAGTAACAGAACAATCAAGCAAGTCAACAGGGCCCTGTCCACATACATGTGTAAGTTTCCCCATGTGGATTTGAACATTCGCCTAAGATGTGAACATTAACAACTCTAACATCAAATTAAAATGATTCATGTAATTAGATATTCACATGCATGGATGATAAGAAAACAAGAAAAAAGTGCAGTCTGACAAGTTTTCCCATAAGTAGTCTAAGAAGATGGACAAAATCAGTGACAACTCCACCTGACATTACACAAAAAAAGTTCTTCATAAATAATCAAACATCAATGCAATGTTTTCCTCAATTTGTCATGTTATCCCTTTATAAGTGGTCTTTCTACATGGTACATGAATTAGAAGTATTCGAAGCTTCAACATTTCATTAATCCCAATTCAGCACAAGTTGCTCAAGCTCAGTGGCAGAACAAAAACCTTAGCTATAAATAGATCTCAAAAGCATATTTACATCTAGCCACCTCTCTCTCTCTCTCTCTCTTATGTTCATTGTTCTGCAGATCCACAACAATAGGTTTTTCCTTTTGCTATGTTCTATGTCTCTCTATCTTTCCCCCACCGGTTCCCTTCCTTGAGATAGGCAGCCATCATTCAGGTTCTTGCTCCAAGATTATAGATAATAGAGGATTCATAACTGGTTCATTTACTTATATTTCCATAAAACAAAATAAGGGATAAAATACTAGATATACTCACAAGAGTTTGGCATTTTTCATCCAAAGAGCTCGACGAAGGCGTTTAGACTGTTTCTTGAAGTGGAATGCACCATCTTGCATTGTCGCAGTTTTGTCAACAAGAAGCTCAATCCTGTCGCCTCTCTCTAGTATTTTCTCAATGTTTTCCACCATAATTGTGCGTATCTGAAAAATTAAATAAAAATCACAAAGTCAGGTCACATTCTTCACTTGATATGCCATTCAACTAACAAAAATGACATCAATAGAGACAATAATGAGCACAAACATTTTTTTGAAGAGATGCTGAGCAATCCATGGTGTTTTCTCCTTAAAAACTGGCTAACACTAGACTAAATTAGTAGATTATTTGCCAAGTTGAAAAACCTCCACACTCCATCAGGGCTAAAGATTTGAATTTCAAAGACATTACACAATGACAACTATTGCCTAGGAAGTACATAGTCAAAAATACAAAGGTAATTGACTTACACGAACAAAGAGCTAGTAATTTTGCAACAATCTACAGCACCCATCAGCACATCAGGACAGGTATAAGATAAAAAAATGGTCAAGAAAATTCAAAAGATGAAAAAAAAATGAAGTTCCAGCAGATGTAACTTTAAAAAAAAAAAACGTTTCAGCTAATGCAAGATACTTGCCTCACCCACTTCACCTCTAACACGATTGAGAGTGTCTGCACTAGGATTACTAGAGAAAAACTCCATTTGTTGATGCAGCACCCGTGAGAACTCATCATTCATTGCATATGCCGGTGCGTAATGAGCCACTCTGCCATAGTTTTTCATGAACCTCATGTGAATATCCTCCAAGTATGAAAATGGAATTCTCCCTGCATTGAGACACGATAATGAATGGTGACTCGTGATGATAATCCTTTTACAGAAAAGGAAACATAACCAATCCAGCAAGAAGATAAATCTGTATACAAATGAATATCCATTTTTGACATGATAAAATTCAACAAAAAATAAATAAAAACACTAGCCATTAAATAGTAGACAACAACACAACAGTTAAGTAATCCATGGTAATGAAACTGCTCCCAAGCTTAACGTAGAAGAACGATCGTGATACGATACAAAAATAATTAGAACTTTAATGAAACAAAAATAAGATAAAATAAAATAGAATAATATACTACATTATATCTAAATTGTGGAAAAAAGGACTAAGAAAAGTGCTCAAACAACTAAAAAGGAGTTTGTCAATTTTTAAAGGAACATAGATTGTTTAAGCTTCAGATGGAAACTGTTGATTACGTTAAATGTATCTAAAATGAGCCTAAGGTGTTGGAAATTTATGATCCCTTACCTACCAATTAAGCAACAAAACTTAACACTCTCATGCCGATGAATCTCTACCAAATAAATCCTTGAATTTTCCTAAATCCTATGCATTATTCTAAAATCAATGCTAAATTAAAGGAAAATTACCTTGGTAATTCTACAATAAAGCAAGATATAAATACTAAAAAAGAAAATAAAATGAAGCATACATATCAAATCTTAGACTTTAAATCCCTAAACCCTTAAAGAAGGAATACAAAATCTCTTTGCCTACTTCAATTATCGACCTAAAGATTTAAACTCATAAAATTTCCGATATAACAAAAAAAAGAGATGTAAATGAAGTGAAAGAAACGTACTTCCAAAGGTATCATTAGCCATACAGAGGAAGCTGAGGCCATCGGATCTAAGTATATGAAAGATATAACGATCCTGAGAGAAGCAGATTCTCGAATCGGCGTTCTCCGGAAGTTTCTCCAGGATCCGTCGTGCCACCGCACCGGTGTTCCCGGTCACGGCGCTGAACTCCGCCAGAACCACCGTGCCTCGAGCCACCACCGCGTAAAGAATCGCCATAAATTTTTTTTCTTTTTTTTTATTCTTGGCTTCGACGCTAGTTGGACGGCGAAAGCGGCATCGAAGGGCGATACAGCGATGGGTTTGGGATGGGAGATTTTTGGGGGCTAGTTTTGAACTTTGTTTGGCAGTACAGCCAAACAGGGAATTTTGCGTACCGGAAAGTCCACGGCCGTTTTTTGGGTTAAGTTTTGAACTTTGTTCGGGAGTTGAGCCAAACAGGGGATTATAAATAACCAATTAAGTTAAAATTGATATTATTACATTTTTATTTTTTTTCAATGATTTTTCTTTTATGGCTTTTTTTTTTATTCATATAAACTTTTAAGAAAATAAATACTATAAATAAAAAGCTATAATCAAAGACAAAGGAGCCAAAATTAATGAAATTTTAGTATTATAGTTTTTAATTATTAAATTTATATTATAAAAACTATTTTGTATGATATTGAAAAACAAAACATTGAAGTTTCTTACAAGAAAAGAATAATTACATGATTTTTTAATAGTTTTTCACATTTAAAAAAATTAAAAGAAAATAATTTACTTTTCAAACCTATTTAGATGCTACTACATGTGTCTAGTACGGAAATATATATAGTTTAAAATATGTGTTTTTAATATATTTTTAAATTATAATTAAGGTTTAGGGTAATTAATATTTTTTATTTTTATGATAATATATTTATATTTATAATTTATATATTACAACTAATTTAAATTGATTCCAGTGGTAATTTTAAATGACATTAGTTATTTTGTAATTAGACATTTAAAATTTTTTTATATTAATTTTGTAGTAAATTGTGATTAGATGGATATTAATTTTTTTTTTGGAGTTCTTATATTTGGTATTTCTTTCATATCGATGATGAATGTTGAATTAAAAATTTGTTGTATTGGTAGGTTTTTGAGTTTTAATTGTTCTGGATGGATTGGATTTTGATTTTTATAAGTACAATTTTTATGTTAATTTTATGATAAATTGGTGTTGAATGAGCATTTTGATTTATATTTGTTTTGAAATTTTTATATTTGGTATTTTTTAAATTTAATAATAATAATATTTTTTGAATTTAAAAATTATTGAATTAATAAAAGTGGGTAAAAATTAAAATATTCAATAGTAATATGTATTGATGTTTGTAGATTTTTTTTTTTAATTTTAGATGTTGAATCAAAAATCACAAGAAAAATATTATGATAGTTAAATAGTGATGGCAATGAGTTGGATCGGAACGGATTTTTACTCGTCACAAATCTGACTCGATTTTATATATATAAAATCTGAATTCGACCTTATTTGATGATTTTTTTATTTTTATATCTGAATCCGACTCGATCCGATATTATATGAAATTATATCTGATCAGATTTAACCTTAAATTAATAAAATATTATTTTTAAAATTTAAAATATTTATTTTTTATTATAAATATAAATTAAATATATATAAAAATATATAAATGAATATAAAATTAAATAAATAATTAAAAATAATTTTTTATATATCGAGTCGTATTTGTCTAAAATCCAACATTGATCCGACTCTGAATTTTTTTTTTTTAATATTACTCAACCTGACCTAATCTAATACTCAATTTAAAAAAAAAAAAAATCAATCCTAAACAACCAAATCAAGTAAGATATCGTTGGATTTAGGTTATATTATCTTCTCTATAATTAAATGGTATAAATTAAATTAAATGGTGTTAGCATATAATAATTTATGGATTTATATTTTATTATATTTTTCATAAAACTTAGATGATAGATATCAAATTCAATTTAAATAAATTAAATTTGATATACCATTATCATGTTATTCTTACATATAATATATAATTTTTAATATATGTTAAAATATTAAATGCATTTAAATCTCAAATATCATGATAATTAACTGAATTATAGTTATTCTATAGAAGTTTAATAAAATATACAAAAATAAAGAAAAACATTTTATTTGTCATTTTTAATTTTAAAAATGGACATACACTCATAAATTAAAAAAAAAAAAAGAAAACATAAAATTAAAAAAATTCCACAACTTGATAGAATCAGAGTGGAAAGAATTGTCTTAACTCGTCAACTGACGTACATGGCAAAGAGCACAAAGCAGACAGCTAAGTAGCAAAAGTAATGTTAAAACCATACAATGTTTCTTTACTGTACGATTTAGCAGACTTTGTCTCTCTCTCACTTTCTTTTTCGATTGCTTTTAGATTCTGCTTTACAAATGCCGCAAGGAAAATGGAAAAACACAATCCAAGGTAAGCTCTTTACTTACTTTGTCTACCAAATTGTCATTACAAGTATAATATGAATTTCATTTTCTTTTGATCATATTTTGGGTTTGTTTAGACTTAAATAAATCTGGGTTTCTTTATTTCTTTCTTTCTTTTTGATTTATAAATGTTTAATGAGGGTGCTTTATATCATTCTCATGAGTTTCAATGTTTGTGTTTCATACTTGTATGGACTGTAGTTTTTCATGTAAAATTGTTTGTGAGACAGAATGAATAGGAGAAGCTAATAGATGTCTTCACTTGATGAGCGTATTTTACGGAATTGGTTTTGAAAACCAGACATATTTCAAGACAAAAGCAAAGGCTGGAACTTGGAAGTTGGAACCAATGAATCTACGAAGATCAATTTCTTTTGTTTGGGAAGGTGTTCTTTGTCTGATAATCATGGTGCTTGCTCCACTCAATGGGAACAAAATGAGAACGCGGATGGGCTGATGTGGAATTTGTGGGTTTAATGTTGCATAATTGACAAATATAATTGGTTCTTTTTTGGTTAAAATTTTGATCTATTGTTTAAATACTTGATTATTAGTAATGGAAGTCATCTCTCCGATATAGTTAAGAAGAGTAAAAAAGAAAGAATGTAGGTTATAGGTGTGGTCTTATCATCACGGAAATGTTTCAATGCCAAATTTGTTCATCAGTCAAACAGAGTTGACTTTGGTGAAATGTGATTCTGACTTTTGATTAATTCAGTGAAAAGTTCCTTATTAGGTTAAATTTCCTCTCATTTTTGTGGCATCTTTTAATATATTTTAAACCATTTAGAATGGTTCGGTAGTATCCCGTCTTTAAGGAATTAAGGATCTGTCGCAGCTAATCGAATACCCTCAAATAAGCTGTTTTTAATATCATAAAGACCAAATCTAAATAAAGGTTTGCCTTGTATTGTTTTGGACTTAAGTTATTTCTTTTTAATTGACTAAAAGGAAGTTATTTGGTGCATCTTATGGAGCTATTCTTTTTAACAATAAGCTGATGCCAGAAGATGTATTGTGGTTACAACTGGTTCATAAGAGAGGAGAAGACAAGAGCCATAGGTTGTTGGGAGTTCAGAAACTAAATCACTTGAGCTCCTGAGGCACAAGAAGTGAAAAGAATGAAATTTTCGAATTTGTTAATGTTTCATATATTTTCCAATTTAACTCACTGTCTTATAATCTCTGACATACAATGGTGTTATCTGCTCTTGTCTATATTTTAACAGAGTAGAAGTGGTGGAACACACTTTTGCATAGTAGAAGAACTACTTGAACACAGTTGATCTCTCATTTTCTCTTGAAAGGAAACTCATTTTGCTGGTAGTATTTAGGACAAAGTCAAAGCTATTGCTTCTTTGTGCTCCCTGAGAAAAGTAGAAGCAGGGATCAATGAGCATGAAGGTGTTAGTAGTAGACTACAAAAACTTTAGATGACATGTTAACCTCATAATGACGAAATGAACATGCGAACACTGAAACTCATAGCCAGATCATATGGCATTTTTTAGACAGACCATGTCAGTGGTGATGAATTTCAAAAGTGAGCTTATACAGGAAGTAGAGGTAACCTTCCATATGATTTCAGTGTTATATCTAGAATGTTTCTGGCAGGTTTAAAAGTTTGCCCGATGGTTTAGCGTTATGTAAGTAGAGAAAAGGAGCTGATGACATGGACATATAGATATAAAAATGTATGCAATTGTACAGTATGCTAATTATGCAAATTGTGACACTTAGCTCAGTTATACATGTTGGCTAGAATCTGCCAATGAGGAACAGTTTCTCAAGTAATGCTATGAGTTTTATATGAGTCTCAAAATTCATGCAGCTCAAGGGCCTATTGCTTGATTATTGGAAAATTGTATAGTTTGGCTTTGATTATTTCTTTATTTATTTATTTATTTTTTGGATAAGTGACTTTGATTATTTCATATTGATTAATATGATGAAAAATATAATAAATGCAGGAAAGGGAAAGTTGAGATGCAATGCAATTTGAAAGCTTCCATAGCCAGTTGACCTCAATGAGGATCATAAATTTCATGGGCTATTTCTCTGACATGCAAAGAATCCAGTGTACCCGTACTTCCAAATTTCCTTGCCATCCTGCATGAAATAGATTTCCTACACTTATCTTCCTCTTTGTTTTGTCTTTTGCTAATTTTATTTCCCTCTTAACTGTTCAAAGAGAAAAGAATGGCCTTTATTTTAAGGGTTAGATCACATGTTGTGCCCTTACCACTTGTTTAATATTTGGAAATCTGATTCTTGTCATGTTCTATTCACTCTTTTCATATCATGGCTGAAATTTTGAAAATTGGTCGGATATAGCCCTTCCCCAAACAAATAAAAATAAGTCATCTCAGAAAATGAACATACTAATTAAGATTAGGAATCTAGGCCAAGAGGAGGAAACTTATGAGATCATATCTACTTATGGTTATTTTGGTCTATATTTCAGTATGCTAGTTTCAATAAATATTAAGTCCATATTGGTTGAAAAGCCACCAAGTGCTCAGCTATAACCATGAGGACAAATGCAAACAATTGCATTGAAATATGTTTTTGAAGATAAGTAGAAAATCTTTTTGGAAAGGCAAAATAAGTAATAATAAGAATTTCTATGAGGAAAAGAAATCCATGAATTGGATACATAACTTTAACTCATTGATAACCAAATGGATAAGAAAGAAGCATTTTCTAAGGAGAAATTGATGTTAGATTATAGGACAGATAAAATATGCTTGACTAGGGATAAGGTTTCTTATTCTGGCATTTTCATGCATTGCTTTTTTTTTTGGTTAGCTATTGTTTGCTTTATATGCTTGCTGCTGATACAAAGAGGAAGAGCAGTAACTACTGGTGAAACAAAACCACTTCTATGAGGTTCATTACTCATTAATTGGATGTTAATATTTGTATATGGAAGTAAAGATAAGGCATAAGGCAAATATTTCATGAAAAGGTCCTGTATGAAAGAAAAGCCCACAAGGGTGGTGACAGGCAGCAATGATTCCTTCAAAACTTCCTAAGAGTTATTTGTTGCATCTTGTTGGGCCATGAAGAAAGGATAATCGATGATGATGTATAGCCACTTTTAGCTCAAAATATGGCACCATCCTATGAGTTTTGCGTGCACTGAAAGGAAACTGCAACTGATATTTTTGTGATCCATTCTTCTAATTCAACTGTGTTGACAAACCCAGGTCTTCAAAGGAATGTAAACCATCAAATTGAAGCTTTCACATGTTTAGGAGAAGAATGTAATTTTCTTCTAGCTTTTACATGATGTTAACAAAAGAAACTGCTTTCTACTCTATATAACTTCTTTGATTGTCCAATGAAGAGCAAAGGTCAAAAAATTTGAAGAAAATTTGTTCCTGGATTCATTTTCAAATATGTTGAATTCCATACTATGAATAGTGGTCCTTTCGTCCTATGTAAGTGAAATTCCTTTTTTGCTTTTCTTTTTTGTCATAAATCCAGTCATTTGTTCATGATTTTTAAATTCTATTTTCAGTTCTTGGTATATAAAATATGCAAGGAACACCACTGAGTTCAATGTGGATTGAGTGGAGCATTGACTATTAGTACTTATTGTATAAGTAACCATTGAAGTTTTGAGAATGATAATTTTTTTTTTCAACTTTTGCTGAAGCTAACTTTGAAATTCCTGGATTGCCCTCTTGAAACAGCGTTGGAGATGAGCTGTCATCAACTCCATGGAGTAGAGTCTGACAAGGGAACTTGTGAAGATTTTTCGAGGTTGAGCCCTCCTAACCTGGGATGATCCAGAATTCTTTCTGACTCTGTAATATCCTTTGTTAGACTTGAATTGTAGATTGAGCTGATTGATAATCTTGAATTCTTAATCTGTAAAACAAATCAACCATAAAACTTGAGTTGGGATGATCTTATATTTTTATTTTATGGCTTCTTTGTGCTGTTGTATTAACAAAAAACTAAAGACTTCCAGCTAGCAGAGCCTTTTCAATATATTGATATGCTATAACAATTTTGTAGAAGTTGGCTTCTGCTTATGAGATGGAGCGTGGATCATGTTTTGTTGGGCAGAGTACTTTTGGTCGATTCAGGCCTCAAGCTTCATTTTATTATCAATCTTGTTGCATATTGTACAGTAGTTTGATAGCCAGCATAGCAGCTGGTCTAGTTTTGATTCTTTAAAGCTAGTTTCCTCTTGTAAATATCTGTACTATCAACTTTGTATTTGGAACCTAGGAGAAGGAAAAAAATGAATAGATGGTTGACGGCACTCCATTTACAAAAGATTGCTGGTAATCTTTTTGTTATTTGTATGTTGCGTTTAGTTTACAAGATAGTAGCAAAGGTCTGCATGGATATTTGATTATGACGTGTTCCAACTCCCTAGTGGCATACAGGCATGCATGATCATGACCCAACGAAGATGTTTATAGAATCAATAAGCAGACAGGCTGACTACATCTTTTCTTGTTTGTCCTTCACAATTGTTATTATTTTTCTAATGAATTGACTGTTGGTCTGGTAGTTTTTCTTCGAACTTTTTCATATTTTCAAAATGTTATATTCATCATTTTGTTTTAATTATTTTGTTTTTATTGACTGCCGGCTGTTAGGTTCTGTGTTGAGTTTTACAATGGACGTTCGGCAGAGGAATAATGGTGAGTACATCTTCCAACTGATTAAAACCAAATAGCAGTTACAGATATCTTTACAAAAACTGTGGGATTTCAAAAAATTAATCCTATTTTACGTAGAATGATCTCTTTAGATCTTGCTTATTTGCTACGTTCCCTTGGCCTACAAGTGGGAAGAAGAAATTCTTCTACATTCTAAAGTTAGGTTTTGCTTGTGGTACAATTCAATCATGCCACATAAAGGGCTGGTTACCTACTAATATTGCTTAACTCAGGTCCTGTTCATTTGTTCCCATCCTAAGGGAGGTTCTGGCAGATCATTAACCATCTGCCAAATATCATCCTCACTGGCTTCTGGGTGATCTGAGTGGTTTCCTCCAGAATTTGATGTACCTGAGGAGCTTGTTATCTCCATCATTGTAGCTTTCTCAGAAGATGTTGCAGCCCTGTTATGAAGTTGTCTTCCTCGTGACACATCTTCTGGTGGGCGTCTATCAAATGCTCGAAAGCTGCCTGATACAACGTAGACTCGACACAAACTGAATTCGTGTCTCAACTACATTAAGAAATGGTAAACAAGCAACTGATGATTAGAAAACTGAAGAACTTCAAATCTAGCTTTATGCCCAAAGAACTATGACTATATATGTGTTCACCTTAGGAGTAACAGCAGCAGATGAGTTGGCTACTGCTTCTATGGCTTTATATTCATTCATCTTCCATTTTGTTTTCCTCCCAGAAGGAGCTTTTCCGTTATAAAAAACCATGGTTTTCTTCATTCCTATCACTCGGTCATCTGAGGAGTAGACATAGCTGGGAGACCCTGTTGCCTTCCAGTATCCAGAAGTCGTAGTGCGGTTAGGTCTCCCTCCATGAGCTTCCCTCTCTTGTCTTGGTGTAAAGTAGAACCATTGCTCAGAGTCTCCTTTACAACACTCCCCAGCAAGTTCTGCAAACATTTCAAAAAAAAAAAAAAAATCAAAACAGGCGACTTACTATAGCATTCTTTTTAAAGCATTCTTAACATATATAGCAATCATGTTGTAATGAACAGTGAAGAAAATTGTACGTGGAAGTTCCCATGGTTCTACATCATAAATGTTGACGACTGGGATAACAAGGTGCATGTCTTGTCTCTTGCCTTCTAACTGGTTGCGTAGGTAGAAGGAAACCAACTCTTCTTCCGTCGGAAAGAAGCGAAAACCCATCGCGACCTCCATTTCTGGTATGTACCTATATAGATATATATGTTGCTCTTGAGTTTTTATGCTTTTTGTCTTGTGTTTTTTTTTTTTTTTTTTTTGCCTTTGAATGAGCTCCATGTGAAGGAGGTTTAAATAGGCATGTACATGCAAAGGACGGGTGAGCTTTTGCCGAGTGAAATTGGAAAATTTGTGTTTGCTATAGGATTAGTGGAAACTTACCACGCGGTTATGTAATGAAGAGAATGTCGTTTTATCCTTCCTATAGTATTGCTTCACTTGTCCCAATCCAAGTTTCCATCCAATGAAATCTAATGTTGAACCAGTCAGCCTCACTTTTCTTTTTTCCCTGTATATCGGCTGCACGGTATCTTACCTACACCCGTTCAGCTGATCAATCTACGCTGTTCATCTGATTGATTTTTTATTAACTTGTCACAAGTTGCTGCTGTGCCTGTGATAATTGGCTCTACTTTGTGCCGTGGTAGCTAGGTAATTTTGCTTCTCTGTTGTCTATTATTCAATCAAGTCCCTCAACTTTGTTCTGATAACTCTATGTTCCTCCTTTTTTTAGTGGATAATGAAGGATAAATTCCAATTGAGCCTCCAGACTTCACTCATGCATCTAATTCAGTCCTTCAACATTGTTAGTTCAATCGAGTCCTTAAATTTTCTTATTTAATAATCTAATCAGCTCTGATTAAAGATAATGATAAACAATTAGTATCTATAACGGCATAGATTAAAATCTATCAACAGGAAATTAACAATAGATTGACATTGGTCGAATTAGTTTGACAAATTTTTAGTGTTTAGTTGATGAAATAAAAGATGAGGGGCTGAATTATAGATTTTTTCTGGCCAACGGTCTGAGTCAAAGATAAGTTGGATACACGCAAAGATGTAATTAGTCCATATGGTGTGTTAATACGGTCAACGCGCTGAAGCTGTCTATTTTTTATAATTGAAGATGTGAGAATTTAAATTTTGATCACAATTAAAAATCTGATAAATACTAAATTATCCCTTTAAATTTGGGTGAAGAACCAAAACATTTCAGCTGCAGCATATTCTTCTGATCAGAATATTCTTAAAGATATTAAATATAAGAGTAAAATACGGTAATACCCTTGAGTTTTAAACATAATTTAATTCAAATTCACTAGTTTGAAAAACGGATATTTTGTCTAAAAACTTTTTAATTAATAAAACACTAAGAACCTTCTATTAATTAACTTCGTCAAAAGCTCATTAAAATATTATTTTATTTTTTAAAAATCAATATTCTTAAATAGTCACATAAAATAATTATTTATAATAATAATTTTTTTAAAATATATTAATAATATATAAAAGATATTTTTAAGTGTGATATATAAAAACAAATTTCGAACTTATAATAAGAACATGTAACATATAATAAAAAAAATATTTGATTGAAATAAATGTTACTTATAATTGTGAATTGTAAATAAAATAAATGTTATAAAAAGAATGTGTAACATATAATAAGTAAATACTCACATAAAATAATTATTTATAATAACAATTTTTTTCTTAAAATATATTAATAATATATAAAAAATATTTTTAGGTGCAATATATAAAAGTAAAATTCAAATTATAATAAGAAAAAAATGTTATAATAATAACATGTAATATAATAAGGAAGAATACTTGGTTGAAAAAAAATGTTATTTATGATTGTGAATTTCATTTTTATATATTGCACCTATAAGAACATGTAACATATAATAAGAAAAAAATTTTGTTGAAAAAATGTTATTTATAATTGTGAATTTTATTTTTATATATTGCATTTAAAAATCGTTTTTATATATTTTAAGAAAAATATATTATTATTATTATAAATAATTATTTTATGTGAGTATTTAAGTATATTGATTTTTCAAGGATAAAATGATCTTTTAATGAATTTTTTAACAAAGTTAACTGATAAAAAGATCTTAATGTTCTATTAATTGAAAAGTTTTGGGGCAGGATGTCTATTTTAAACTAATAAATCTAAATTGAATTATATTTAAAACTTAAAAATCGAGATATATTTTACTCTAAATATAAAATATATATATATATATACATATTTATTAACCTAACAATTGAAGCGAATAATTAATAGTTAAACCAATATTATCAACTGATTAATGTTTGAATTGAATTTAAAATTATAAACTCTATTGTTACATATTCACCTCATGTTCTCACGTCTTAAATTAAAATTAATTTTAAAAATATTTTTTTAATAATTTAAATTTGAGTAGAATCAATGTTTGGTATTATTTTTAATATCATTATGATATTTTAATCATTGAGATGATTTTATTACTAAAATGTTTTTATCACTCATGATCTGAAATTACTTTATTTAATTAAAAATCATTAATTCTTAGTAATTAAATATTAACGTATTTTGTATTACTAAAAATCAAATATTATACCAAAATAATCATGCACATTATAATAGTTAAATAAATTAATGATTTCAAAATTATTTAAACATAATAATTTATATATAAAATATTATTAATATTTTATTTGCTTCATAATAAATATAATTAAATTATTAAATTAAAATTTATTTATTGATAATAAACTAGTTTTATAGTCTAAATTATATAAAATAATATTTGAATTAGAAAATAAAACTAATATATTAAAATTAAAAATTATATTATAAATAAATTAAAAAAATAAAAAAAATCACAAAAAATATTTTGAACTTGTTATAATGAATATTAATTTAAAAATATAAAAATTACAATTTAAAATAATAATAATTAATTTTAAGATTAAATAAAATTTTAATTTGCTTATTAAATGAATAATTTTAATTATTATTAATTTTATATATATCACTTTGCTCCAGTAATAAAATTTTTTATCACTTTATATGGAAATTAAATCATCTTATAAAGTAATGATCTAATTTTCGATAATTCAAAATTATTATCATAGAAAATCATTAAATAATTATCAAATATAATAATTTAATTATCATATATCATTTTTTAAATTATATTTTATATTAAATATTATCAAAAAGTTATTTTCAAACTATAATCCACGCTTGACTTTAAGGTTTTTTTTTTTTGGGGAGTGTTTTACCTCTTCAAAATATTGTTTTTTTATATATCCACGTGGAGGAGTCGTTCACACTTCTGTTTTTAACCGTAGCTGCAAATTGCTGTTTTTTTTTTTTCCTTTAGAGTTGGAGCTTTGATTGTTTTTTTTCTTGACTAATTTGATTTCCACCCTCGTAAGGCTTGCCTAATACCATACGACAGCAAATTAGGCAGACCCTTCTTCGGGGTCCCAAGTTTTGGATTTGCCACAGACAAAGTAGTCATTGACTTTTTAATTAATTAATTTGTTAAATTAATGTAAATTGCAAAAAATTATCTCCAAAATATTTTTAAAATTAATTAATTTTTTATTTATAATAATATTTTTCACTAAATAATATTTTTTTAATAAAAAAACTTATTATAGAAAAATATTATAAATATTAAATTTTATCTATTAAATTTATGGATGATATTTTTTAAAAATGATTGTAGGAATGAATAGGGATAAAGTTTGATAGGTAATTCAAAAGCAAACAATTGATGAGAGTAGAAGCTCACTAAAGTACTTGTCAGAATTTTTCATAATTAGATTTCATTTTTAAAAAAAAATTATTTTTGTTTTTGTTAAATGATTTTTTTTTTGAATTAGTCATTTGTTATAATCAAATTTTAAATATTTTTTAAAGTTTTAGTATACTATTTATAATTAAATTTAAATTTTATCTGTTTGATAACATTTTACTTGAGATAGTATTATGTGATTTTATAATAAAATCATTTGATAAATTTAGTTTTAATATAAAATAAGTATGAAATTATTTAAATATGAATTTTATACATTTTACTAAATCAATGTGATTTGATAATTATGTAAATCTTTGATCCAATAAACTTTTGACGAGAGTTTTTAAGAATTTTTAATTAATTAGATTAAAATATCTTCTTCACTTCAAATAAAGATAATTACTCAATTAAATGCGCTGGTTAGAAAAAAACAAAGAAGAAGACCTAATCACTCTAAGGATAATTTTGCTTATGCAAATTCATCATGATCATCCAAAAAGATATGTCAATCTCCTTGTTTAATTATGGTGTTATAATTTTCTCACAATTGGGTTAGAGATTACACGAACTAGTTTTCTTGTCTGAAGGCTGTAGGAAACCAGGCAACCTCCATAACCCAGACAATTAGACTATGTCAAAACCATGAGGGTGAGGAGCCAGAGGGAAGATGTAGAAATTATCCTTGGGTATAAATTTGTTGAGTTCATCGTGACCTGACCAAGATTCAGAAAATCTAACCCCGTACCCCAAATACCATTCTTGAGCATCATAGTCTGAAGGTAACCATATGCATAAATTGCGCTATCCTCGACAAGTATCAGTTACAGTTACCTGAAAGTAACAAAAATGTCACCCCCTGGAGTGATAGGTTCTCACTCTCTTGCCATTAGGCAAGTTTATCAGGTGGAGTTGGATGGTTTCTTCGTCAGGATTGTATATAATGATTTTGCTGTGGCGAAGCTCTAGCCAATGTAAACAATCATTGTAATGCACAATTGGACCATCTGTATTGATGTAATAGTTGGGAACAGGGCTGTGTGCCATTGGCCTGTCTCGGAAGAGAAAATTTCCAATTGTAAAATGTTGGATGGGCCATCAGCTGTTGGGATCCGAACCACGTTGTAGCTGTCATCTTTGCTAATGAAACCAATTGCAACTGATTGTAAGGCTTGGGGAGGTTTGGGGAGAGCAATCCCTTGCCTGATAAGTGGATTGCAGATGTAATTTTTTTGCCAGTAAAAGCTTTCGGATCATAACAACGAACCACATTAAATGCCAGGATCTTTATTGGGCAATCCTGTTCAGAAAGAAGGAAGTTTAATGAAAATCCTGACAATGGGAAATCCTGGAATTGTTTCAGAGCAATACGGCCATCTATCATGCTAGATGGATGAATTCTTACTTCGAACAAGTAACAGAAAAGAAGGTTCCATTGTAGAGACCATCACCTGGAGAAGCATTTGAACAAGAAAATTTGTTTAACTGGTAGCCGTTGAAGGATCCCCGTCAAAAGCCAATCAGGAACATCAGAGTCATCAATTAAAATTTGTTCTTCTAATGTTCCCTTCAAAGTTTCTGCCATCATGATCAATTTCGCTTCTCTTTACGGAAGCCTGCAAATGTCTAATTACCCTGCAGAAAAAGCTTCATTGCTTCCATTTTTGTGCCTCAGGTTGCTTTCCACGGAATGGTATTAGAACTTTGAAATATCATTGTCATTTTTGAGATTTTAATTCAATTATAGAAGCAAAGACAAATGCTCTGGGTTCGAAGGTTCTTGTTCTCTGATGTCCACGTACTTTTCTTTCTGATATGTTTGTGCCCTGAATTAATCTCTTGACTGTTTGATCTCACAATTCCAAAAAGAGAAATGCAACTTGCCATGGGCCATGGGACCATTTCACATCTTTATAACATGTTTGAGCTTGGACCCTTGGGCATGTCCTATATTTAAGGAGCAAAAAGGTAAAATGAAATGCTTCAAGAATTATTGAAACCGCAATAATTTGTATTGCAAACAAAGACTACAGCCATCCCTCCACTCATAATACACATGATTAACAGAAATTACTTAAAATCTTGCAACACCTAACTTATGATATTAATTATTACATAAAGAGCAAACTGTAAAGCACTGAGATGCTCAAGGGATACCGATGATGGGGATGAAAGGAACATAATAGCTAGATGGGGCAAGTCCCCACTCTGGGGGTAGTGGCAGATCAACAGTCTTAGATGAACCATTCTCGTTTGGAGCTCCGCATTTAGCATCTTTGGAAGCCAAAGGGCATGAAGTTGAGAAGGCAAGTGGAGTGGAGATCGTGTAGGAGTTTAGTTCATGGGCCTTGACAACCTTTGATACCAGGTTTTTCTTCCAAGCATAGAGCTGGTTCGGACCACCAAGGAGCTTGGCAAGACAGTTCAGAGGCGTTGGAGTCTTTGAGGTGTCTTTCGGAAGCTCAACCTTGAAAGAACCATTTTCTTCTGTGGTTGATGTGGCTAATTTTTTCACTTGAGCACACTTCACTGCTACCTTAATGCCTGAATCAGCAAAAATATGATTAATACAAAGAGGAACTGGCAATTTGCCTACCCAGAGACAATAGTTAAACAACTCAAAGGAGGTACACATCTAAGATTACAATTTGCACTGCCATCAAAATAGTGTAAGAAGTTGAGAAAAAATGAAAAACCAGTTAATTGGAACTTTTTTAGTAAAGTTTTTATATATGTAGAGTCTAGACAGAACCTGAGAAGTCATAACCACGACTGCAGCCAAGGCAGGAGATTTTGCCGTTCAGAACTTGGCATGTTGAGAGCTGAATCCTGGCAAGAGCCAACAGGAAGAAGAGTGTAGTGATCGATGAATGAAGTGCCATGGCAAGCAAATACCAAACAAATTTCAGTATATGAGTTATGGAAGATGGCATACATTTGCAGCTCTATAAATACTAGGTTGTTGAATTAGCTAGACCATATTTAATGAAAGAACCAAAGCCTGAGTTTGGTTGTTGGTGTTAATTTACTGCAGTAACGAACTAGCACGAGGAAGGCCGTTAGCTTTTATATTAACAAATGAAAATTTACAGATTTATATTAATCAATAAGTGAATCCAAAATATCTTCAATTTATCATCATCACTTTCATATAAATATAAAATATATATATATATTTAGAGAGTTGATTAATGATTTTGTTTTTTTATAAAAATATCATTCCAACACCATTCTAATTTAATAGGAAGTATTCTTTTTACAAAAAAAAAAAAATTACAGTTTGAGAATAAAAAAAATTACAGGTGCTTGAATTTTAAATCTATTAAATATCACATTTTAAGAATCATTTTATAAATTAATCGAGTTAAATTTTAATTTTAAAGTAATTAAATACTTCTCCAATAATAGTAATTGACTTTAATTTGTTTTCTCTTTCAATGCATGGGAAGATCTATTGAGTCATGGTTGGCCTAAAAGATTGGCATTTCTCTATCCTATATAATAAATTAAATCCATCATTCCCAACTATTTAATTTAGGAGTACTTTGCAAAAAAATACTAAAATTTCAAAATTAAACTGCTAAATTGTCATCTTTGGGAATCATCGATCATGGTTTACTATGAAGAAAATTATGCTTTTCCCATAATCTCTTCTATGACATAAATTACAAATGCAGCCACCATTCAACATTCAAGTGGAAAAGATTGGGGGGTGAGAGTTAACAGAAATGTAGTTAATTATGACACTTGGAACTGGATATAGCAGGAAAAAAAGTGAGAAACCCACAGTCAAAAAATAAAAAATAAAAATGATATCATGCCTCAAATTGAATATATATGATCATGTCGCTGGATTGATTATATATCTGCTACTTAGTTGTGACATTTAATATATCCATACAATGGTGGTTGGGGTTTTTCTCTTGCAGCTTGAGTGCCAATAAATGAAAGTAGGAAGAAATGTAAAATCCTACGTATCAGTTTTAGTTAAAAAAAGAAAAAAGAAAAAAGAGGATATATGAAATGTCTATTAATTTCACTTTTTTCAAGCTGAAGTAGATCAATTAGCCAAAAAAGTTGAAATAGATCTAGTAATTCATATATTTATATCTTATAAAATATTAATAATTGATATATTTGTATCATGTTTTATACGAAAATTACATGTTATAATTCATATCGATACAAAAACATGAAATGCATTACGAAAAACATAAAATGTATTTTTTAGTTTTTGTTAAATTTTAATACGACACCATTATGTTTTTTTCATCAAGAATGGAGTCTAGATTTAGTATTTAGATGTGAATTGTGAGATTAAAGAATTGTTTGTTTGTCATTGGAATTCTTCTTCCCACAAGGAAAAGCCTCAGAATAAATGATGTAGGGTAAGTCTTAGAACACTGATCTCCAGCACTTCCCAGTTCTTCAGGATATACTTACAGATATATGCCTACTTTGTCTATTCCAAATTGCATTACAATTTTTCTTGGACTACAGCTGCAAATGTACTGCAATGGGTTCAACGTTTTTGTCTTCGCTAATTAAGAGCAACCATTTTCCTCCGCCGACTTGATAAGAAATTGACCATTCGGGGTCTCTAATGCGTTGAAAACCTAACACCACTTATATTCGATCGTGCAAAAGAGTGTAGCAAAAACCTAAGCCAGCAATCTAAATAGACATGTATGCAAAAAGGGATACATTTGCACATCATTTATTCATTGCAGATGAAGACATATCAGAAGGATTTCCTACTTTTTCTCACATTGATCATGAATCCCTATTACACCTATCATGAATTGCACAATGGAAGCACTTCAAATTCATATTTTTCTTGAGTTCGTCGCAAGAGTATGAATACCTTTTTCGGCCTTTTGGTTGCAACATCACAAGTCGTCCATGAGAAAAAAGAGCACAACTCACCATACATAAATTCTACCGTCATATGTAAGTACATTCTCTAACTATATACTAAAAAAAATTATCCTGTGCCCGACAATGAGATTAAACTCAAATCTAGTTTGAGATATAATTATAATAAAAAACTTTTTCAAATGGTTTAGACTTTTTATCTTAAAACTTTTTTTTTCATGTCTATAGAAATCAGAATTCATTGTCTCTTTAAGCTATGCATGTTGTTTCAACTTGAAACTTTCAAGTTCTAACTGTTGAATTATTGCCAATTAATTTTGGTTGATGTTGCAGCTTTCACATTACCTTAATTATTTCTCATGAAAAGTTGATGGATTTTTAATTCAGGTATAGAATCTAAAGATAGTGTAAATGATAGGGTGGGAAAAAGTTACTTTCCCCTTCCTATATCATATAAGCCAGCATGTAGTAGAGCAGAAGGTTGAGCAGTATTATATATGAGGATCCACAGCATTTATTGTTTGTATGGGAGGTCTCTTTCAATACAAACAAAGATAGTAAGTTTGACATTATTGGTTAAGATTCGTTTTTTTTATAAAAAATTTTTAAGTTAAGTTTTATTAACGATCATTTATTGAAATTATTTCAAATATATAACTTATAGTTATAATTATCAAATATAATATATTTTATTTTAATTTAAAAAATTAAGTCATATCTTAATTTTTTTATGGGAGAATGGTTCAAATCCAATTCATTTACATATTTTTAGAGATTAATTTAGATAAACAAATCATTAAATTATTAATATTATATTACCTGACATTAAAATTATGAAAAGTTTATTTTTATTATAATTCAAGCATTGATATTATATAATATCTAATTTTTTGTTAAAAAGATTTTAATTAATGATGTCATTTACAAAATATGCTTACTCAAATTAATTTTAATGAATTGAATGACAAATATTTTAGAGAATGCAATAAATAATTATGAGAATTGAATTTATTTATTAATTTGTTATTTTTAATATTTTGATGGGTATAATTAAATTAAATTTAAATTTATAGGTTTAATTTCATACAAGAAAAAATTGAGAACTAATTTTTATTTTTGAAAACAAAATTTGAAGACCTGTTTGAGTATTGTCTATATTTTCTTAACATTATACCTCCAATTTTACGAGAAAAATTATTTATGCATTCAAATATTTTACCATCCCAAAACTGTATTCCATTACTACTGATATTCCTTTTCAAGTTCTGTAGAGGATAGATCATAAGAGATGGGGTTGAATAATTAAATGGACCGTTTTAAAAAATTAATTAAAAATTTTTTCTGTTTATTTTTTTTTGTTCAATTTTTGTGGATATCTCAAATTATTTTTTTTAAATATCTAAAACTCTTACTTTTTATATTTTAAAAATATATTTTATGATTTTTTTAATTTTTTATATTAAAAGTCATGAAAATTTAATTTTAGAAAAAAAATTTTCATATAAGCCAGCATGACCAGAAGGTTGAACAGTATATATATGAGGATCCACAGCATTTATTGTTTGTATGGGAGGTCTCTTTCAATACAAACAAATATAGTAAGTCTGACTCTATTGGTTATGGTTCGTGTTTCTCAATAAAAAGATTTTAAATTTAAATTTTAATAATTATTTGTTAAAATTATTTTAAATATACGATTTATAATTATAATTATTAAATACGATATATTTTATTTTAATTCGAAAAATTAAGTAATTTTTCTATCTCAAATTTTTTTTTACTTTAAAAAAAAAGATAGTAAGCTTTAATTTCTTTTTTGGTTGAAAATCAACTTTTTCGATGTCGATTCGATCGAACCTCAAGTACTATTTTGAACTTTGTATACATATCCATGGTGAAAATCAAAAACATTGTCCATGGTGTTTAGTAATTATCACCCTCGTCTTTTATTAATTGTTACATTGAATCTTTCAAAGGCATGCTGTTAAGGTGTACTTAATTTAAATATAATTTTCTTCATATGGTATCTTCTTGAAACCTTTTACATTCAGTCATGGTAAATACCATTTTTTAATTAAACCTAAATATTGATTACCAAAATTAAAAATTTATCTTCTTATTGAAATTTTCTTTTAAATGGATTGTTTATTTCAAATTTTTTTTTTCAATAACTGCAGCTGCTAATCTATTGTTTATTTCTTTTTCTTTCTAACTGAACAAATAAGAAATGCTTATCTGCAATTTGCATTCAAAGTTCTAACTGCTAAACTAAATCTACATTACCTTATTGTTCGTCGAAATTGAAACTAGGCAATAATGGCTTCCTCCGAACCAATAAAAATGAGTTGCAACCATACAACCAAGTGACAACCACAAGCATATATTGCAAATAACTGATGATAAAACAGACAATGAGATGGAGCACTGAAGAAAATTTTGTCTACGGTGTTAATGACAGAGAAAGTCAGACACAAGATATAAATGAATCGAACATGACACTCGCTATTCTATAAACTAGCACAAAGCCAATATTTAAAAATGTCGAGGATTATTTTCTCCATCCTGAAATAATGAAATACCAAACTCGAAAACTCCTAATTAATTGTGTGAATTCTAGGTTGTGTTCTGGCGTGGTTTTACAACCTGGTTAAGGTTGAAATTAAATGGAATCTTCAATTGACAGTTCATATTCTAATGACGAATACAACAAGACACGTGATTTTACCTGATTTGATAAATTCACTTTTACAACTTTAGTTGTAGCACTTTCTTTCTGAATTCTCTTGGACCAAGGCAAGCAAAGAAGGAAAGTCTAAGACACGACCAACGAGATTCCAAGGAAATGCCATATTCAGTAAACTATATATTCCTATATACGATGAACAATTACAAACCAAACTCATGATTCTACATATTTTTTATGAAGTTGGTTTAGTAGTTATGGTTTCTTTAGGAATTCTCATTGACACAGGCAAAGTTAAAGACATTTCAAGTAAATGTTATATCTTTTAGTACAAAAGAGATTGCAACATGAAAATAAAATAAAAGATTAAAGGTAATGAATTTGAACTTCATACTTGTTGAATGTCACATCTTATGGATGATTGTATGAATCAATTGAGTTAAATCGTATATCCATTCAATCATATAAATGATCAACACTTTGCTGATGTTAATGTCTTAAAAACAAGACACCCTTAAATCACTGAGAACACTAGGTTCGATAGAAGGAATTTTGGTAATGGCAAGATTTTCGAATTACAAAAGCTAAACAATAGTATCACCAAGAGTAACCAACAGTTTGAAAACACAGTTACCTTGCTAAAAGAAAAACAGTTTTGGAACAAATTACTGAGCATCTATGGCTCTGCTTGTTTCTGAGAATAAAGTACAAAACAATCCACAGTTTTAACAGATAATGCAGCAAATCTGCACTAGAAAAATTTTCTTCTTTGAGTTTTCTTTGAGTTTTAACAATAATATCAAGTGTGTTAGACTATGGATCTAATATCCAAAGGACTTATCCATGAATCTTGTCTTCCAACGAGGATAATGTAAATCGAAACAAGTTACCGATGAGCAATGAATACAACATGGTATTAGCATTGCCTTCATCAATATATTGACTTCTATGATCTTTCTTGTGTCAGACCTAATTTTCTGAATACATCAATAAATGGTCATTGTATAAGTTCACATCATCTCTGTCTTGTACACCTTTTTAAAAAAAATGAGTCTGCCAGAGGACAATATACAAGGGTGTGAACCGTGGCGGTCAGGCTGATCCGAGACACCGGAATGGTGAATGCCCGGGTCTCGGAGCCGCACGGGTTCGGAGCTTAAGTCTCGACCCGTGACAAGTGGTATCAGTAGGGGTGAGTAAATGGTCAATTCGGTCGGTTCGGTTTGAAAAAATCAATAACCGATTTAACCGACTTTCATTTAACAAATAATCGAACCGATCAAATATTATTAAATAACCGATCATAACCGAACCGACCAAAATCGGTTCGGTTCGGTCGGTTCGGTTAAATAACCGATTTTTTTTATCATTTTTCTTCTTATTATGAATAATTATTTAACCATAAATTCAATTCAATAAAATTCAAACTCTAGTATCATTCAAACTAAATTACTAAAGAATTTAATAATTTCAACAATATTTTACCAAAAAAAATAAATAAAAATATTTATCTCAATTTTTTTATTTTTAATTATTAAAAAGTCGGTTAATTCGGTTAGTACGGTTATCAATTTTAAAAACCGAAAACCGACCGAATTAACCAATTTAACCGATTTAAAAAACCGATTATAATTAAAACCGAATAAACCGAATCGATTTAACCGAATTCACTCGGTTTTGGTCGATCTAGTCGGTTCAAACCGACTTTTGCTCACCCCTAGGTATCAGAGCCAGCCCTAAACCGTTCGATCCACGTCGAACACCTCAAGGGAGGTAGGCAGGGTGGCCAGCCTCCGTGACGAGGGCGTCACGAGGTTGGGTGCAGGAGAATGTCACGGACCTAAAGAGGAATCCTGAATCCCACATCGAATATAATAGGAGGGTCACTAGGGTATAAAAGGGTTCACACCATCTCCGCCTTGTGAGGCGCCTTTTGTAGGACAAAACCGTGAGGCCAGGGGGGCCAGAGCGGACAATACCTCACAAGGGTGTGAACCGTGGCGGTCAAGCTGATCCGGGACGCCGGAAGGGTGAATGCTCGGGTCTCGGAGCCGCACGGGTTCGGAGCTTAAGTCTCGACCCGTGACACTTGCAGCCCAATGCAGGTGTTAAAGTAATTAGTAAACAACATTAATACAGACTTAGATGTCAAACTGAGCTGCATTTGTCAATGTGAACTGCTATATAATTTCACAAGCAATCTCATGACACTAACATACACATTGTGCACTTCAAACTTCAAACTTCAAACATTTCAGGTAAGTGGTTAAACAAAAAAAAGGATATCATGCACCGCAGTAAAAAGTTCAAAAGTTCATTACCAATACATAGAATGGCATCTGAAGTGTCTTAAAATGAATACAACTTCTATTCAAATGAGTTGCACAAATGAAATAGAGCATTCACTCAATTCTCCTACCCAAACACTATCCTACATGAAGAAGCTTCCCTTAGTGCAAATAAAAGGTTCTAATCCATGACAAAAAAATATATTGCCAATCATTTTTGGTGAGAGTCCATAATAAAACCAACAACTTCAACCTTTCTCTTTTAGCAAAACTTATTAAATATCTGATAACATCTTAGTAAAAGGAAATTCCTCTATCAGTGTTGTCTCAGATCATCAGAAGACAGAAGCCAAACTCCTATGAACTATTTAAAAGACACTTGCAAACCCAGGAAATATTAGATCTCATCTCATATTTAAGGCTCTCTTTTCTTATGCTTCAGCCCTGTCCTCAGATTCCTCTGTCTAGAAGGCAGGACATAGCAGATGTTTACATGTAATTTTGTATTTTCCCAAGTTCATTATTACTATTTAAACCTTTGTGCAACTTATTCAAGTTCAATCAGGATTATGCTTTGAATTAGATATCCTATATGATATTTGCTACAAATTTTCCTTGTGGTCAAGGACCTGAAAAAGAATCTTATATTCAGAACATATTTAGGATAACTTCCTAGAAGAAATGCTGATGGAAGCATGGGAAATCACCTTGCTTGGTAAGGGAACTGCAAGTATGATGATTTGGAGAACTTCAGAAAAGCTTCAGGGAAAATTGATTCTATCCTCTTAAATCAGAAGTTCCTGTATATATCCATTTTATTCAGTTTGCTATCATGGTTGAGATATAGGAGTTAATCAGTGCTTAACAGTTAACACGTCTAAGAGTTACCAGAGGCAACTGTATCTATTTCAGCAAAGCTTCTGCAGTATATAAGTCATGAATTGAACAGCAAAATATGATTTTTTCCTCTGAAATTCAAAAGCTTTGGTAGACCATCTATTCTTTAGTTTTGCTATGAAGGTTAAGACCTATAGGAGTTCCATTCAGTGCTTAACAGATATGAGTTCTCAGAGACACATGTATCAGTTTCAGCAAGGTTTTTACAGTATATAATTGATGACTTGAACAGCAACTCAAAAGTTTAGCCACCAACTATTTAGTTTTTCCTTATTAGACAATAACAAGCTCCGACTTTCTATTTCTGTTTCAATTAGCATTTGTATCTAAATAGACCAAGATGTAATCATTAATCTCCCAGATAAACACTTAAACAACCAACCGAACCCACCATCATCATCCCAGACAGTGCAGATCCCTTCACACTAGCAACATATAAACAATAAAACCTCCAACATCTTAACCGCAACAAAGAAAGTTCAAAACTATTAAGCCACCAAGGAATGCCCAAACCCAGCATTCTCCAATAAGACCTCACCGCATTTAACCGGTTGATAGACCCCTAACTCCCTAGCACTACCATTCCGATGATCAGCTCTGCATAATATAGCACCAGAGAGTGCCATTTACTTTCAATGTGCGATGATAAAGCTGAATGTTGACCTTCTTTAATACCGATACAACTAGTGAAGAACTTCCTTCCTATAATCTAGCAAATATTACATTGATGACTTCACAATATGCATAAAGGAATTTACATTCAAGTTTCTAAATTCTTATGTTATAACCTCCAAATTTCATTCTTTTCTTTTCTTTTTCACATTTTATCTACGGCAAGAAAAAAAAACCACATAAAAAAAGAATTAAAATTACATTAAAAAAAAAATCAGAGTTTGATTACATTAATGGAATACTTATTCTCTTCCATATCCAACAGTCAATAATCAAAACCCTAAAAGAAAATTAAAAAATATCAAAACACAAATTCCTTTCTCAATTAATCAAGAAATCCAGTTTGTCTCCAAACAGCATTCCTTACCTGCCTTAGATCCCTCCCTTTTAGGGTTCGTCCCACGCCTTCGAGCACTGAACAAGCCAACATAGGGGACTGTGCTAAGCTCCTGGCCACAATCTCATGGGGTGGCAACATTTCCCCTTCTTCCTCCACGTCCACCTCGTAATCGTCATCAAATTCTCGGTTTTTCCTTATCGTTTTTGCCAGCATTGGCACGTTAACCGGCACGGATTGATGAAACCTTCCAGAAGAAGAAGAGGAAGATGAAGCGATTGGGATTCGTTCTTGTGGCGGTTTCGGAATCGAAGGGATTAAACGAGAAGAGGACGAGGATGATGAAGTGGCAGAGGAGGAAGAGGATGCTGACGTGGAAATTGAGGGCTTTTGGTAGAAATGGGAGTGTGGGCGTGAAGGGTCGCGAATGGCAGCGAGGATTCCAAACTTTTCGGAGTGAGGGAATGATTTATGGTTACGGGGGCTGGAGGAAGGAGAAATTGTTTGATGGAGGGAATTTTGGAGGCCTCCGGCAGAGTTGAAGCCATTGGATTTGTCAGAGAAGTCGCCGGAGAAGAAGATATCATCTTCGTTGAGCTCTTCCGCTGCCGCAGAAGAAGACGAAGGATGGTCGGATAGTGGCACGTGGGGGTAAACGCCAAGGAATCTGTCGGTTGATGGGGATTTAGGGTGGCGGAAGCGGGAAGGTCCATTGACTTCCATCGTGGGTCTGGGTCGGGTCCGGCTGTTCATCGGAGATTCGTGGCTGCTGGCTGCATTTATATGAAAAAGAGACTTTTTTTTTTTTTTCTTGGGTGTGTGAAATGAACGAGAAAATGACGTGGGAACTAAAGTGTAAAGATTTTAGGCGTTAGGATTAGGGATCCGACACGAGAAAAAGTCGGTCCATTTTTTTGGGATAAATCCGACGACGTAAGCATATTTTGGATTCGGATTTTTTGGAAATGCCAATAATAGATTATGCTTTTTCTTCTTTTTTTTTATTTTTTTATTTTATCTCATATTTTGATTCGTCAAATGAATTGAAGATTTAAGGGGACCTAAAATGCCCAAAACCTCTAACTAATGACAAGAAAAAAATTGTTCGATATACCAATTTGAAGGGAATGAAGATTTTTTTTTTATGTTTGTGAAGAAATAAGAGGGGAGTCACTTCTAAAAAAAATTTGTAAATAAAATTATTTAAATCAAATTGTTGAAAATATTAATGAAAAGAAATTCTTTTAAATAGTACAAAAAATTATTTTTATTTGGAGTTTAATGTTAAGTAAATTTCAAATTCAAATTTTAGTATTATAATTTTTATTTTTAGATTAAGATATTTTTATAAGAAAATCATTTTAATTTTAAAATATATTTAAAAATATTAACATAAATTAATTCTATTTTAATATAATTTTTATAGGAAAATGCCTAAATAAGTGGGCTGGTCTGACCCATGAAACAAATGAGATTTGAAGTTTCAATTTGGAAAGAGCAAAGGTTTTAATTCATCTTTATTAAAAAGAGAGAGAGAGTTGCGACCAAATTGAAAATTTTGTAATTTCCAACCTTAAAACCGTAGAGGCGTAGAGCCTTTCAGCCTGTATTAGAACCGAAAGCTATAAGCTCTGTGTATTTTCCTAAGCTGCATTTGGATTGAAACGGAACTGCGTTTATCATAAAATTTGTGCCAATTACACAATAAATGCAAAAAAAAATGCATTTAGCTTAGATAAACGATGAGATAAAAGTGCATGTTCACCATGCCACAACTCTAAAATCTAATTAGTGCTTTAAGCTCCATTGAAAAAAAACTCACCACTGGTGAACTTTATCTTTTCAAATAAGCCCGTCATCTTTTTTCAAGATTTTAATGTAGCAATGAAAATGTATTTAGTCTATTTTTGTCCTTTTTTATTTTGATTTTTATATGTACAAGTTTTTTCATTTTTTTTTTTATTTTGAATAAAAATAATTATTATCATTTTTTAAAAAATCATTTTTATATATTATTATCAATTTAATTAATTTTGAAATATTTATTAATAAAATTATTATTTGAAATAAAACTAATTTTAGTAATTTTTAATTATTTATTAATTTTATAAATATAAAATAATTTAAATTCTTTATATAAAATTTAATATAATATTTCTAATGGTCCTTTTTTTTTTTTTACAATTCTTTGTCTTACTGCTATCATTGTGATTACATCCAAACATATATTTCATCAGTAATTTTAATTTTATTATTACAATAACTAATTTCACTGTTATCATTATTTTCAATTTCATTGGAGTTAATTTCATTACCAATCTAAATGGATCCATCGTCATTTAAAAGCCCACTCCCCTCACTAGGAAAGGTAGTTCAATTTATACCTGACAAGTTTTGACTCGATCTAACTTTTTAAGATTTTTTTTTCTAAAAATTTGATATCGATTCAGGTCGGATAATAGTAAGAAATAATCGAAGTTAGGTTTTAAGTAAATCCGATCCGATCCGATATGTATAAAAATTTATCTTTTAATTATTTATTTAATTTTATATTTATATTAAAAATAATATTTTATATTTAAAACATAATATTTTATTAATTTCAAATTGAATCAAGTATAATTTTATATAAGATCTAAGTATAATTAGATTTGGATATAAAAAATATAAAAAAAAATCAAATCAAATTGAATTCGAATTATATATATATATATATATAATCGAATCGAATTCAAAACGAGCATAAATTTGTTTTAGCCCAATTCGTTGTCATCTTTATTCTTCACTCTATCAATGACTCCACTCCTTTCATCTTATGCTAAGTTTGAACCATGGTAAGCAAATCCCGGATGGATTTGGATTCCACCGAAGCACCAGCATGGTGCGATTAGCATGGTTTTCAACTCAAATGTGTCGAGATTTGTCATTTGGACAACACAGCTTCAGTGCAATTGAAATGTTTGGAACACACTGAAAGTTAAAAATAGACTGGAGCTATAAAGGTTCAGTGAGAAATTTTTATTCCCACCTCGTTTGTCATTTCCAAAAACAACTATACTCTTTCTTTTTTATTTTTTTCCTTTTTTTTACCTTTGAATTTATAATATAAGGCCAAAAATATCCCTTTCACTTAACTTAATTTTTCCATTTCTTTTTTTATTTAAAATTTTTAAATAAAATTGTTAATTTAATATAAATAAATAAGATTTTATAATTATATAATAAATTAATTAATAATTAAATAATTTTTTTATCATATCCCTTTATTATTTTTAAATTTTTTATGAATAAAATTATTATTTAATATAAAAGTATTTTTATATTTTAAATAATTTTTAATTTAAAAATATCATAAATATATTATAAATATATTATATATAATTTTTAGTCTAATATCTTTAATGATCATTTTTTATTCTCATTATACTTCATTACGCCACTATTGCTACTTTTATATTCAAACAAATATTTCATCGTTGATTTATAGTATCTAATTTCACAGCTATAGTAATTAATTTTATCCCTATCACAATTTTCAATATCACCAAAAATCATTCATCTAAATGCACCATTAGATTCTTTAATAGAATTTTTTTTTACATATTTGTATTATTTTTTTAATTTTCTTTGAATTTTTTGGGCTTGCGCTTGTAATATATTCGAAACTATTAGAAGAAGTTTTTGAATTTTTCGATGCATTTATGTGGAAAAATATGTTTGGTTGTCGAGAAAACGTGGGAAACAAGGGGAAAAGGATAACATTTTTGTGTCTGTTTTAGCTTATTCCGATCAGTTTGATAACTGGGGAAAGAAAGGGAATGAAAGAATGAAGCTCGTGGAGATTTCATTTTATGCAGTGCCCCCTTATTTAATCGAACAAAACTCTTGATTTTGCCGCAATAGCATAGGAAACGGAATAACGTTAAAATGAACTGTAATTCATTGATGCTTAGAGCAGTGTGGTAGGTTGCTGTTTCTTTATTATACATCCTTATTGAGCTCTATTGATTTAGCCATGATCTACATCTGAATTTTGGGTGCCAATGTTTTTCTGCTCACTTACTGAACACCTAGCAATTTTCTTCACTCTCCAATCATCTTGCATTGCATATCTAATATTATGTGAAAATCGTAGTCCTATTTGGTAATATAATACCTAAATGTTTGCTGTGGTTACTAATGGTATTTATCTTTGTTTGTGCCTTGGTATGGATTTTGTCAAGGTACTTCTATTTGTTAAGCATTTAATTTAAAATTAATTGATAATAATTGAAATGATCTAATTTAAATATAAAATTACAAAAAATTAAATATTTATTAGATATAAGATAGCATCACTTTAACATACTATCATTACATGTATGAAAGAAACCTATTATGTGATAGATTTGAAAATTATAACGAAAAAAAATTTTGATTTTCATACTATGTTAAGCATCCAACTTAAAATTAATTGATAGCAAATAAAGAAACTCAACCTATATAAAAAATTAAAAAAAAAATTAAATATTTATTAGATGTAAAATAATACCACTTTAATATTATTTATGCTTACATAAACTCTTTGTCGGTGATTGTATAGTCGAGGAGAAAGGTTGGCGAGCCAAAGGTGATTGTATAGTCTCTTCCTTTGGCCCGCTGTACGAGAAGGAGAGCATGCTTTCGGTGTTGCCCACATTTTTTGCATCATTTAATGACACTTTCATTGTGAAGAAGGGAATTCTTCGACTTGATAATATGTTTTACTTGCTATTTTGCTATAATAGTTCACTTAATAATATGAATTACTTGCTATTTTACTATAATAGTTTAAGTGAGGCATTTTAATTAGTTTCTTTTCCTTTGGTATTTTGACAATTGTAGCACGTGACTGATTTGTCTGGAAGAGAAACTATGGTTCGTATTATAGGTGAGCAGAATACCAGAATTACAGTTCTAAGCATATGTTTCGTTGCCAGCTTTTATTGGGAGGGGAAGGGTTAATTTGAAGTACCTATAAATAACAACTTAGCAAAAAATGTTGAGATAAGATGACACTGAGATCATATTGACTAATAAATGGTGATGGATTATGATTATTGTTAGAAAAGGAATTTCTAATTCATTTTCTTATCATACCAGCTGTCCAAGTCTGTAATTTTACCTCTCGTTGCTTTCTTACTATGTACTTGTTTCGGTGATTGTATGGTTAAAATGGTCTCTCTCGCTACTAAGATAGTTTGTTTTACGGTGTTTGGATCTTCAAAAAACCTTTCTTCGTTTTAGATAACCAGTTTGTTTGGAGCTAAGACTGGCTTAAAAACCTTGGTGATTGTGTGCATGTGCTAGATCCTAACTAGATTTAATGGGTATGATTTCAAGTAGTATGATTTTTCTTTGAACATGTGTCTCTTGGTCATATGTAAAAGAAGGTGGAAGGCAAGGGTGACACTATGTTATTGAAGCTTTTTCTTGAGTTTGAAATGCTTGACTAAGTTCAGGTGGTATGAAGGTGAAAGCTGACAAGGATGAATCTTCACTTTGGCGGCTATGCTTGCAGCACAAGACGTTTCCCAGAGATGCAAGGTCATACACCACTCCCTTCTATCTACCATGGAAAAGCTGAAATTGTCAGTTGATATTATATATATTAGCCTGTTAGTATTAGACATACAATTTTACTTTCTGATTTATGTTGGTGTGGACAAATTGCAATTTTTGATAACTGAATAGGAACTTGGAATCACTGCTCTTCACATCAATTACGTCTTACAGGTGGGAACAAAACCAAGACTCCTGGTCCAGGTGCTCGGTCTGCCCCCAGGGCTTTTACTCGCTCAGGGATGCAAAACGATCGTATTGGTAACGCATTTCTTTGCATAACTATTTGAAAGTATTTTTAAATGCCGAGTCTTCGGCATATTACAGTCAAAATCTTTTATTCTTATTCTATTTTGCAGAGGATGTGACTCCTATTTCCAAGACAGCACCCGTAGAAAGGGTGGTAGAAGAGGGAGAAGGCTGTAAACTATCACCTTCTAGTCTAGCAATTTACCCTTCAGTTTTGGTGGTAGAGCTTTTGGTTACTTAGTAATAGTTATTATTTGAGATTTTTTTGTAGTTTTAAACTACTTTTTAGTTCTTGGATTTATATTTGAGTAGCATTAAATGAACGGCTTTGATTCTATCATCTCGTTTTTCATGTTCCTACTACTTCCAGCCTAAAGCGGATGGCTCTTACTCTTTATTCGAGCCCTTTTTTTTTGGTCAAATAGTATATATTTTTGGGGAAAATTTTAAATCTTTTCGTTTTAAATTTTTTTATTATAATATGTGTCTAAAATTATCATACGTATATTTTTTTAGACATGTATATCATCACTCCATCAATATTACTAAGCATTTTTAATGCCACGTGTCATAACTTCAAAAAACGATGGTTTTCATACTGCTTCATGTGTTTTAAGAAGGTGCGAAAAAAATTTATGTATAAAAGATTACAAAAATTATATATATCTGTATATAAGTAGAGGATAAGAAGTAAGAGAGTAAAGAAGGTGAAGAGATAGAGTCAGAAAGAAGTAAAAAAGAAAGGGAATTGGCCTACTCGAGTTTAGATACAATGAGTTTTTAAATAAAAAAATTTTAACTTATGAATATTAATTTTATACAGTTACTGTTACAGTATACAGTAGATTTTTATCTACAGTACCGCTACACTATCTTTCACAGTAGGTCTCTGTCTTTTTTTGTTACAGTGACTGCTACAGTGACGTTTTATCTGTCTGCTATAATTAATTGCTACAGTATTTTCTGTCTGTCAGTGTTGGCTCCGAATATAGTTTGTTTTTTAGTGTCGGTTATCTGTTCTGGCTTATCCTGGATTAAAATATGCACAGTTTATCCTTTCATAGCATTTGTTAAGTTATGAAATTCTTCATCCAGTACGTTAAGGGACTGGAGAGATTGAAGAGATCCAGAATGTGATTTGTTTCATATTTGCCATCCTTCTTGGTATTGGTATAGTAATTCTGTTGGATGATCTAGATCTTCTATTTTTGATAATTTTTTCAGGAACTCAATTGCTGCTAGGGTATTTTGTATATCAAGATCGTCATGTGGTTTCAAAAATCTGATAACAAAAATACGTCTACAATCTGTCCAGCAAACTATTTTTGGATAGTCTGGTTTGGTAGCTAAATAGAGAAAGAATTTGGCTTTGTTCATAAGATCAATTCCTGTTTGGAAGTGATAGGAGTTTGGGTTTGTATATTTAGTGATGATTTTGTTTAAATCATCTGAGAATTCGGTGTGGTCTGTAAGTGGATCAAGTATATTTAAGGGTTAAAAAAAATGTCCACCGGATACGGTATCAAATTCTCATATTTGATAAGGTCATATTTGATAAGGTTGATAAAATCTTTCTCGTTGAAAGGTACCCAAAAGACTATATATAATAAAATGAATGTAGTAAAAATGTTTTGACCATTTTACACATTCAATAAAGTCATGTTTAATAAAAATTGAAAAATATTTTACAAGGTGAAAAGAATAATTTTGTACAGTTATTTATCCAACTAAACCAAATTCAATGCTTTTTACATAAAAAGTTTCATGATCGAGTCGAAATTTAAGTTTAGGTATATATTCATCGAAAGTAGTATTATACGTATACGTAGAAGTCTAATAATAACATTTTTTTCTATCATGAGTTTTTCTGTTGACTGTAAAATAAAAGAATTAATTTACTGGAATAATTCTTTAGTTAAGAATACCGTAGCTTTTTCAAAAAGAAGAATTCTCTTAAGCTTGTTTAGCTTAGAGGAAACATAATTTTCTTTTTCAAAATATTCACATAAATTCAAGAAATTGTTTATCTCTTGAAGACTGTACTGATTTTCTTCCAAAGCAAAAAAATCAATATCTTGCTGTTTTAGCATATTTGTTGAGAGAAGGCTTTGGAAAGCTATTTCTTTAAAATTCTAAAATTCTTTAGCCTAGTTGACTAATAACTCAGCTAATTTGATCATCCTTTTTCAAAAGCTGAATTTGTTTTCTGAGAGATGAGATTTTCAAACATTATTTAATAAACTGTAGACTTGTGGTTCAAGTCCAGGATTGTAAAAATCTTTAATCTCTGGGTTAGAGAGTTTTGTTCTTTCAAGCAGTTGTTCTACTGAAGAAACTATTTGAGAATAACTCGTGGGAGTCCATTCGTTTGGATCTTGAGTGAATTGAGAGAATTCTGATTGAATCCTCATGAAAGGAGGTCTGTAAAGTGGTTACTGGTAGAGATATAGTTTTTAGTTAGGATTATTATAAAAGTTAAATCCTGGGTTAGGATTTGTAGATATCAGGGATTTTGGAGAAGAAGGAGTAAAAGAAGAAGAAGAGGAAGATGATTTTTTACCTATTTTTTTCTTAATGGTTCTCCATCCATTTGTGTAATGGATTGGTTGTTTTTTTCGATCCATGTGGTCGACTCACATAGTTTGTAAGGAGGTTTTTGTCTCCCTTCATGAACTCTACCTGAAAATGATAAGAACAAAGAAAATTGTACCACCTAATTCGCTTGAGATTATAAAAAAACTTTTTATTTTGGAGAAAGTTTTTGACTACTTGGTTATCTGTTCGGATAACAAAGATCTCCGAGGCTAAATAGATGTGAAATCGCTGTACATCATTTTTTATGACTAATAATTCTTTTTCAAAGATAATATAATTTATTTTGTTCGGTTTGAACTTACCAGAATTGTAGCCACAAATCAATTCATCTTTTTGATGTAAATTTTTAACTTTTAAGACACATTCCTAATGTTTATTACTGGCATCTATCTCCAAAATAAATAAATCACCTTGTTTAGGTAGATAAATCTTAGGTATAATGGTTAAATTTGATTTGATCTGTTTGATTAAAATGCGTCATAAGTTTTTGTATTTTTAATTTTTAAAAATTTAATTTTTATAATATAATTTAAAAGAATGTAATCTTTATAATATTATTTTTAAAAAATTTAATTTTATAATATTATTTTTTTAAAAATTTAGTCTATGTATATTCTTACTGATTGAATTAAAAATTTTAAAAAATAATATTATAAAGATTAAATTTTTTAAAATAATACTAAAAAAATTAAATTCTCAAAAATAAGAAAATACAAAATATAGGTCACATTTTGGCCTATGCGATTCATTCTCGTAATTTTTTTAATTACAAAAAACACCCCTTAAATCCATAAACTTTGGCCCACCGATGCAAGGATAATCCTGTAATTTCAAGCTTTTCGGCCAAATACTTGGTCAGTTGAGCCTCGAATTCTCAATCGGTTTTCAATCCTTCGCTCTCACTCTGTTTCTAAACTTCCGAAGAATAAGAGAAGAAAAGGCTAGCCTGTAATCTCTACAAAAACAGATGGGCAAAAAGGTAAAATGGAGCTGGACCTACGCATTAATTGGCGCAGCCTCCGCCACAGCAGCGACTGCTCTCCTCCGTGCGAAACCCAAAGACCCAACTTTCCACCTTATCTCCATCAACCTCACTTCCTTCAAGCTCAACCTCACCCACATCGAAGCCGAGCTAATCCTTACCGTCCACGTCACCAACCCTAATATCGCGCCCATCCATTACTCTTCCACCACCATGTCCATCTTCTACGAAGGGTCTTTACTCGGGGAGGCAGAGGTCAAAGCCGGATCGCAGCCGGCCCGGTCTTGCCAGGTGCTGAAGCTGCCGACACGGTTGGATGGGGTGGAGTTGGCTCACCACGCTGGGAAGTTTTTTGCTGACGTGGCGAAAAGAGAGATGGTGCTTGAAGCTAAGGTGGATATTGGCGGTACGGCTAAGGTGTTGTGGTGGGACCATAGGTTTAAAGTCCACGTGGATAGTCATGTTACCGTTGATCCTGTTTTTCTTGATGTGATTGATCAGGAAAACAAATCCCAATTGGAGATTTTCCCTGCTTGATAATTATATATTATATAATGTGTACTACTATAATTTTACGTTTAATTTATGGTAATCGTTTTGACTATCAAGTTAGAGCATAGATGTTTTAATTACTTCTTTCAATTCAATAGTAAAGCACAAACTTTTTTTCTTTTTATAAACGAAATTCAAGGTTAGAAAGAATTGAAAATAGAATTTTATTGATCGAAACTTGACCGAGTTCATGTCTTAAATCTCAAATTTTCAAATCAAATTTAAATTTTATTTGTTTCAAAAAAATTAATTTAAGAAAAATATTTTTATTTTTATCAAATAAAAACTTTAACAATTGAGCTAGATATGTTAGAATGTAAGATTTAAATGTAGGTTTTTTATGAAATTTGTAAAGTCTTTTAATGAAAATATTTAATAAAATTTTAACTAAAAATTAATATATATTTTTTACAGTTATCCCTTATATAATAAATTTAATAATTTTTATAAGTATAATAACAATATTATTTGGGGCATATATATTATATATATAAATTACTTAAAATATCATTTATGTTTGAAGTTTTATGGATATTTGTTTAATAATAAAATTTTTGTCAGGATTTTTAATATAAATATTTATTTAAAAAATATGTAAATTATTAATTTGTTCAAAACTTGCACACTTAATTTTTATTTAATTTATCAATTTAAATTTTATTTAATATTTTAATAAAAAAGTTCATTAACTTCACTTATAAACTTAATAACACGGCTAAAGTAACTTTTGTGGGTTTTCGGATTTAACCCGTTGGACTGGTGTATTGCTCTTCTTCTGCTTTACTTTGCTACACTGCTCAGTAGCTGTGTTTGAGAATTGAGACAGAAGAAGAATCAAGCAAAGCATAATAATAAAAAGAAGGAAATGGAGAAAGGAAAGAGACAAGTCGTTGTTTCAGCTTTGCAATTCGCTTGCACCGATGACGTCCCCACCAATCTCGCCACTGCCGAAAGGTTGTTCTTTTCACTCCTTTTTTTCGTCTCGTTTCTGATTTCTTTCGATTTTTTGGGTTGTCTCTTCCTGTTAATTTGGAATTCTAGATTAAACCCAGATGTTGGATTTACTTTGATACTCTTGGAATCTGTTAACTTGATTTTCAGATACGATAGTTTTATGGGTTGTTTTTTTTTTTAAATTATTCTTTTAATCAATTGTGATGATTCTTGGACCCTTCATTTTCTTGATTATATGAGCATGTAAATTGGTTGCTTGATTCTTATATTATATGAGAATGAGACTATCTAAATATGTGGTGAAGAACCAATAAAAAAAGGGTGATATAGAAACTACTCATGGTTATCCACTCTTTTCAAGTTTAATTTGCTTCATTAAACTGTTCAGGTTTGAAAATTGTTGGGGGTAAGCTAAATTTTTTGCCTTCTTGGTCTTTTTCCAGCATAGCCACTCTTGCTTCATTCTAGCAACAGTGAATGCCTGAATTTATTTATACGTATAAGGCTGTAAGCACACAGCACTGGTGGAAAAACTCTATTGAATTGCATTTTCATCTTCTTGGCATTAAGTGAATTTCATTTTGGTATCTGTTTTCTGATAGGTTTTTTTTTTTTTTTTTTTAGTTTGATGGGACATTTTACTTTAGCTCTTTATATTTCTTCAGCACATTTTTAATATTTGGAATTCTTAATCTATAAATCTTACTTTGGTCTTACATAGCAAGAACTATTATGATTTTTAATCCTACATGCTCCTAGCTGGTGTCCCATCTTCTCCTTGGATACATGTCCCTTTTTCCTTATTGTTGTGTTTGACCCTTTTCATTTTTGAATTTTGAACTCGATCCAAGAAAACCATTAGACAGATCTTGATGCTTATTTTGCTCACCAAATTGAAAAAAACAGGGTTCTAGGTCTTGTGGTATTTGGTATGGTATTTACAAAATCTTGAATTCATCAATTGTTTGCATATTCTTATCCCATTATAGATTGTCTCCTTCCACATTTTTAACACGCAGTGCATGTGTGCATGTCCACTGCTGCTTTTTTTGAAGTATATGCATGAGTTACTTGTGCATCTTTCACATCTTGATGCCATTAAAGAGAGAGCTTTATTCACATGGTATCTCTGCAATAGCTTTCAATGTCTTAATGTTTAGGAATTTGTTTGCTCAGAGTTTCGAAACTTTTTTGTTAAATCATACTGATATTTAAATGGTCTGCCATGGGATGTGAAAATTTGAAGTGCATTTATCTGACTTTCATCTTTAGATAAGTCATGCTTGTGATTAGGTTGTTTTTTTGGCCCCTTCTTTGGTTCAAATTAGTGTTTTGCGAGTGGTACCATTTGATGGCGATGGAGCAAAGATAGATTGATGTATATCAAAAAAGGGATAGGATTAGAGGTGGATGTGTTTGTGAAAAGTTAGGAGTGGTGGGTGGTGCTAATTGATGATAAAAAGGGAGAAAAATAGTACATTTAAGGTAGTTCAGACATGTCAGGCAAAGGCCTATAAGTTTCCAATAAGAACAGTCACTTAGTGGAGGATGCCATGTAAATGGGGAGGGAAAGACCAAGGAAGACCTGGATGATAAATAAAAAGGATTTTTTTACTAGCGTATTAACAATATGGTTCTAAATGGAGCATAATGATACCGTATGATTCATGTAGCTGACATCATGTAGTTGGAAATGGCTTGTTTTGTTGTGGTTATCTTATTCTTTTGTGTAGTATACTCTACTTTCACTCTCTAATTTATTATGATATTTTCTTCACTTTCCCATGCTTTGCCTCTCAAGGCATAATTTCCAACCTTCTCTTTTGGCTGTTGCATTAGTAACCTAAAATGATGCATTAGTAACCTAAAATGACTCTCTGCAATACAGGCTGGTTAGGGCTGCTCATGGAAAGGGAGCAAATATCATTCTTATTCAGGTATATGCTCTTGAAATTTATAAAATTTTGCACTCATAATGTGTTAAGTTTTTTCTAAGAAATGATGTCATTTTTTTGGGCAAGTGTTTCAATTATGCTATGTCTTATAAATGCATTTTTGATGCTACACCAACTTTACTTTGCTTTTTTTTATGCATTTTGTATGGCGGCTGGACTTGTGTACCACTCCTTAACTGTGACACATGTCCATCACGCAAATGCTGGAAAATATGCATGAACAATTAAATAAAGAATGGCATACATGCCATACTTAAAAATGATGAGTGGCTGTAAAAGAAATTAATCTGGAAAAAAAATGGAAGGAAAATTCATATCTCTGAGAGGTAGAAACATCAAATGAACCAGAAAACAGGTTGTGATGTTAAACTAAGATTAAGATAAACAGACTTTATTCACAGTACTGTTTTTGATAAATAACAAAATAAACTATATTAGACTATCTTCCCTAGAAAACTGATGCAGACAAGGATTTTGAAATTATGCTAGGAAAACAGTTTATAATAACTTAATGCTACAACTTTATATTCTTTCGTAGTGAATGGAAAATAACTCCTTAATGATATAGCTGTTGTGAAATCCAGCTTTCTAAAATGGAAAAAAAAGAAATGGCTCTAATTTTAATGTCAACCCAGAATTTTCTCTCATTTGCTCTAATACATTTGCAATTTTGTCAGCTTACTATAATTGGTGGTACAATAGAAGTATGCTAATCTGATTGATTCAATTTTTTCTACTGAAAAATTCCTTAGTTTTATATTTGTTTACCTGCCATTCTTATGTCTTTACCTGTCTTCAGGAACTATTTGAGGGTTATTACTTTTGTCAAGCACAAAGGGAGGATTTCTTTCAGCGAGCTAAGCCTTATCAGGATCACCCTACCATTCAGAGGTAAAATTACTGCATGCTGATTGGCTTCTAAATTTAAGTTGATTGGTTGTATCTGTTCCTTGTTTTCTCTTATAAGAAGAACTAAACTGGCCTTGACATCCAGCTTCTAATCATTTACTCAATTGGACTTGTTTTTGTCTACATGCATACTTTCAGGATGCAGGAACTTGCAAAAGAATTGGGTGTGGTAATACCAGTTAGCTTCTTCGAAGAGGCAAACAATGCCCATTTCAATTCTGTAGCTATCATTGATGCTGATGGGTCTGATCTTGGACTCTACAGGAAATCTCATATCCCCGATGGACCAGGTCTGTAGAAAAGTGAATGCTTCCTAGCTTCAATATGATATAATTCATATTTATTTTGAATATCAACATTAAGTTTCCTCTCCTCTCTTTCAGGATACCAGGAAAAGTTCTACTTTAATCCAGGAGATACAGGCTTTAAGGTTGGTGCTTAGTGAAATCTCAGTTTAATTGATACTAACAGGTTTTAGTAACTTTGAGTTTTCTATCGATCTTTCTTGATTAGTTAACTTATGGATGCCATTGGTAACAGGTGTTCCAGACTAAATTTGCTAAGATTGGCATTGGTAAGAGCATCTTGTCCTTTCCCTTTTAGACAATGCTACGTTTCTGCTTAATTATAATTGGTTGTGAAGCTTGCAGATTTATTAAAAAATATTTGATTTGTCAATTGAATGAATCAAAGTATGGTGATATAAGAATGTGTTGGCCACATGAATTAATTGCAGAAATGTGTGTTTATTTTGTCAATTTACCTATAAAAGAAAGATGTGGAAGATGACATAAAGCAATTGCTTGATTTGCATGTCAGCGATATGTTGGGATCAGTGGTTTCCAGAGGCAGCCCGTGCTATGGTTTTGCAAGGTGCTGAGATATTGTTTTACCCTACCGCTATTGGCTCTGAACCACAAGATGAAGGACTTGATTCTTGTGATCATTGGCGGCGAGTGATGCAAGGGCATGCTGGGGCAAATGTGGTAAGTTAGAAGACTGGTGGACAAACACTTTTGTTTCAATATTATAATTGCTTTGAGGTTAAATTTTGTTGGATAGAGACACTATGTTTCTGGCGATTGTAACTGAGGGCTTAATCATCATGATTATTCTTTTGTTGTGAAATTTAGAGAGGAACTGCTAGCATGCAAAGGGTTAATGGGTATTGTGTTTATTTAGGTACCTCTTGTAGCTTCGAACCGCACTGGGAAGGAAATAATTGAGACGGAGCATGGAAATAGTGAGATTACGTTCTATGGGAATTCCTTTATAGCAGGTATGAATTTGATGATTCTTTTCTTTCTTTTTGGTACGAAGGAGGCCCCAGCCTCGGGCCTCCATATTCATATTCATATTCGTCAACTTTACCTGTCTGAAATAAGTGTAAATATCAATATTTTGATGCCAGGACCAACTGGGGAACTTGTTGCTGCTGCTAATGACAAAGAGGAAGCAGTTCTTATCGCACAGTTTGATCTTGATAAAATCAAATCCAAGAGAAGTAGCTGGGGCGTGTTTCGCGATCGACGCCCTGATTTATACAAGGTGCTTCTGACATTAGATGGCAGCAAGCCATCATCATGATTGAGATCCCCCTTTCTTATCACTCTGTCGTTTTATAAGGGACAATCAGTGAGAGTTCCTTTCACAGCCATGTCTCATTTTAAGAGTGGAAAGAACACAATATGATGAAATTTCAGTAGTTCATGCTCAGTTCGTTTACACATTATTTTCTTCTTCTTCCCTGTACCTACCCCTCGGCTAGAACATCGCCGCCTCACCTGGCAAGGGCAGAAATCGGACCCTTTCTTTGTTTAGCAAAGCAGCAATATCAGGATATTGGTTAGTTACTGGTGGTCCCGAGCTATCCATTAGAGGATACGAACTTGTAAGGTTTGCCTAGCGGACCATTTATTGTAGCGTCGAAGTGGATCTCATGAATCCTCAAATTCTGTCTGCTGGTCATTCATCAAAGATAAAACGTGTAAATTGAGATTGTTCTCAAATTTCTCATCTTCCCGGAAACGATGTGACGGATCATTGTTTTATAATAATTCAAGTTCATCTATGCTAGTTGGATAGATTATAATTATGGGTTCATTTCAACTTAGCTTCAATAAAACTATGGACTTGAGGTTTGAGTGTGATTATGGAAATATTTTCCATGATGCTTAAATCCATTCTAATCCAATAAATTCCACTTTAACATGGCTTCATAAACAACTTATCAAGCCTTATATCCAACATTCAAACACGTCTCATGATACTCTTTGGCTGGTTCTATTGTTAATTTATTTCTTTACTTGGTTTACAAGAAACTCGAAATTTAAACCACTTTTCTTTATTTCTTTTATCACTTACGAACATCATAGCAAAAAAATTAGGAAAAAAAAAGTAAAGAAAGTTTTAAAGTCATATATGATAACATTATAATTTCATATTGAGATATTGTAAGATCTATTATAATATATAAAAACTTGAATTTATATTAATAGAATATTTTTTTATAAGATAAAATTTTTAAATTTTCAAATCAAACGGATAAAATTAAATATTTGTCTCTATGTAATATTATCCTTAGGTTTCATTGAATATCCATATTTATATTTGTTTTTCACTTTCTTGAAACCTTCTTTTTGAGATGGAATTATGATTATATATCATGAAAAGATTTTATCTCAACCGATACCGTAGAGATCTATAAATTACATGACAATTACGATGGAAATGCACGTGCTTTCCAGATGAACCCTATTCAAGGATGGGCAAGACTCTCTTCTTCGAGCATGATCAGTTGATAATGCCCCTACTTTTGGTATTAATCCAAAGAAAAAAAATCTTGGATCATACATAATGATATTTATCTTACATGTCTTGTTATTGTTATGATTACAACAATAACTTTTAAGGCTTGGGTCGACATGTATGCATGGCTTGCTTCATTGCCATGTTTCTGGTCGACAAAATCCTTTGTTTTTGGTCCAGAGAAGCCATGCAGCTCTCTCTAATTTGATTTTTTTTGTACTTCTTAAAATCATGCATAGCAGAGCAGTTTCGATGTTATTTTTCATGGGCTTTCATAAAAGAAGTGTTTGGCACAAAAGAATCCCTTGTGGACCAGAATCTGAAAATTTTGGGGCAATCAAACTTGAATTATTTAAGGTTTGAGTCAGCTAATTGTTATGTTGTCCTTTCATTTTCCCTCCTGGCTAAGTGGGCACATACTTGTCACACTCTTCACCTTTCTTCTAGACCTCATCCATTATATACATATATATATATATATATTATATCTATATATCTATATATATATATATGACAAATTATCATATATATTATTAACAGTAGAGTCCTTTTAATTTTATAAACGTGATTAAAATAATGACACATATTTTATATATTTTAAAAAAACATATATTATTATTTTAATATCATTTATGAAATTAAAAAATTATATTGTTAGTGTATAAAATATATATATATATATATATTCTTTTATGAAGTAATGCATCACTTTTTGTTGCGCACACTTCAAAACTTAGATTTGAGTATGAGAATATGATCCCCCCAATAATGTAGACAAGGATTTGAAATTGCCAACCACACTTAATGTGACTGGATTAAATCTATAAACACCTCTATCCACGATGAAACTCGCTTTTATTGTAGTTCAAACTCCACCCAAATTTTGAATTGAAAATGACCTAAAATAATTGTAGATAGACGAATCTTATCCGAGTAGCATTGCTTAGGTTTTGTGAGATTACAATAGTAAATTAATCAAGTCATTACAAGTGTTAAAAAGAATGACAAACTTAAGGGGGTAGTTTCACGATTCACATGTCAAAGGTAGAGAGATTAAGATGACTAAGGTCTTTGTGTCACATGAACATTCATATGTACAGCTCCACCTGCTACCCCTCACAATCTCAAGTTATAATTAAGGGCACATGGCCCTGGTTGACTTCTAATTTTTGTTAAATTTTTACTTTGCAAATTGATTACTAATTACTAATATTATGATTTTTTTTTTCTTTTTGGGATTTTTAACACTAAATTTTACTATATTATTAATTAGTTCATTTCATTAAATTTCATCACTATATTTTTAATTTTTAAGACAAAAATAATGAAATTATTGAAAAATAAAATATTTTAATTACTTTCTTTTTTATTCAAAAATCAATGGAATTAAAAGTAAAATGATAAAGTTCATCCATTTTAAATTTGAATTTAATTATTTTTCTTTTTTCCTTTCTAATGAATTCATTTTTTTCACAACAAGGAATTTCAGTGAATAAATTTTATATTTAATTAACTAATTAGCCTGTTGGGAACATCAGCCTTACGAATCTTGAAATGCCCAAAATTATGGTTTTATTTCTTCATAATTTAAAGTTCCTCAATTTGCTTCTAACATTCTTAATTAACGAATGATTTAAAAAAAAAATTATAGCTTCAAACAGCATGATTTATTGAGTGTTGTACGGTTCTAAATTGTAAAGCCAAATCTTACTTTGAGGGATCATACAAAGCTAATTATAATGAGTGAATTATTGAAAAAAAAGTTAGATTTTGCACATAGGAAAATGAATTTGAACTTGTCTTTCTTTCTTTCTTTTTTTTTTTTTTTATAAATGAATATGAACTTGTCACATCAGGAAACTTGCAGTTTCCTTTGGAATCTTTGAATTTTCTTTAGTGAACATGATTCGAGCTATAGAACTTTAGGGATGCCACTGTAATAAATGCTTGATAGCAGCATAAAATAACAGGATCATCTTTGTATGTAAAAAATCTTTTATGTACCCAAAAAAATGAAAAGAAAATTCAAATGCTTGGTAGCATTAACAATTTAGCATGCTTATTTTCTGAATTAAATTGCTTTAGTCCACAATTAGGTCAAGACTCCTATGATCTTCCGATATAGTGATAAAATATAAAAATAATATAAATAAATAATAATAATATTATAATTTAAAATTTTAATAAAAATCGTAAATAAATTTAATAAAATTAAAAATATATATTTTATATTTTTTTATCAATATAAATTATAATATATAATTTTTATATAAAATATAATATAAATATATAAATTATTAATATTTTACACTATACGAATAAACTAACGAACCAAAGTTACCTATAGCTTTGTGCCTATACAAAGAAAAGGCCAAATTCCATACCGGTAATTAAACAGTCTGGCCTCTAAGATGCTGTAAGTATGAAAAAATTTTATTAAGTTTCAAAACAATAAAAAAAAAACAAAATTAGTACAAGATATCAAGTAAATTAAAGTTCTCTAGTTATTAATTTGTAATACACTAGAGGGCTAAGATACACAAGGAAAATATTGTTTCTTTTTTTTTTTTTCTTTCATTTTCTAATATACGCATGAAAATCTAGATAAACCTTGACTTCTAGCTTGTCTCATATTGCAACTTGGCTAAATGAAAACTTCATTTTCTGATTGTAATTATCAGACTTGCCTTTTATCTTTGCCCTAATCAATGCCATCATTGATCAATCCTTCTTCTAGATCTTCTACTTGATCCTCTTCCTCCTCAAATTCTTCCTCTTCCAAGATTTCATCATTTGGCTGCACAAAGTGCAGCTTCAAGCGCCCATCTTCCCTACATGCATGCAAGAATTCTTGTGCAGGGATTCTTACCACTTTGAGAACAAACCTGCCATCTTGCCTGTAAGACTTGAAGCAAACCCAAGGTTTTCCACTCTTCCCAATACAAGAAATTGGTGGTGGAAATGCTCCTAGACTACTACTTGATCTTGACCTCCTGAATTTGCAATACAAATTCTGATCTGTTGTTGTATGCTCTGTAGTATTAATACTACTTGCTTTCTTCTCTTTGCTTTGCCAGTCTTCTTTCATCTCATTTTTCATGCCCTCAACATCATAAGAGCTCTCGAAACCAAGCCCTTCAGTGCATAGCTGCAGGCTCTCAGAGTTCAATGAAAAACTTTCGCTCTTCCTGTGGCAATACTTGATAATCTTTGGGGTGCTTGAAAAAAACTCTGGCGGTGATGAACTTCTATTGCTTTCATCATTTTCATGGAAAGTATCATTCCTGGAGAGCTTGAATGTACTCTTTTGAGGATTCAATGAAAATGGTGAAACAGAAAAGGAAGAGGCTGAGGATGATTGGAAATCTTCCTTGAAATGAAGTTTACTAAAGATTTCAGTGAAAGAAGATGGCTCAATAGGTTTAATAGCAGGCTTGATTTGGTTCCATGAAGAGAGGGATTCAAGCAGAGTTGAGTTTTCTGGTAATGGGTTTTCAAAGATATGTTGAAGGCTTCCACAGGCAGCCATGGCTTGGCTCTCCAGTATTCTCTTTTGAGTGTTTGAGAGATGATACTTAAAGAGAAAAAAGAGAGCAAGCAAGCAAGAAGCAAGGAAATATAAAGAGATCTAACTTCTCCTTTGAGGGTTAGAGTAAAGAGGGAGAGGGAGAGGTAGAGAGAAAAGAAACACGAGATTTGGCATGGGTTGAAAAAATCAAAGGCTATTAATTTGGGGAAGCTTTTTGATTTGGGTACCTCTTCTAGTGGAGTGGAATACGGATGCATGGGTGGTTAAGAGGGTTGGCTCAATTTGGTGGCCATTGTTGTTTTCTAAAATTTTAATTACTTTATCAACGTTTTTTAATTCGAATGATAAAAAATTTAATTTAATTGAAGTAAAATTTTAATTTTGAATCTTATAAATAAAAATAATAATTTTAAAAAAATTTATTTTTTTATGTGATTTAATTTGATTTAATTTTAAATTAATCAAAATTTAAAATGATTATTAAATCTCAAACAAAAATTTTTTTTTTATTACTTCTTATATTTAATTAAAATTTCATGAATGTTAAGTTTTTCACTCTACTAGCTATTTTTAGTATGATTTGACACATAATTTTTATTATTTATTTCATTTTTCTATTTATAGTACTATGCAAGAACGAGGGGTTCAAGGTTAAAACTTAATGGCAAAGCAGAGGAATTCATGATTCTAACAAGGCTCTAGACCAAATGAAACGAAGCTATAATGGCAAACTTAGCAGGACAAAATATATATTTTGCTTTTGTTCCATTACAATCAACGCCACCCCAAATTTTTTCCAAAGCTTGAAATTACGTTTACCAATCACAACAACCCATGTCATAGCAATACTGTGCTTCGAATATAGCCATATGGTGGTGTCCAGGATGTACCGATGTGATTTGTAGGACAAATTGTTTTCCGCATCTTCCCGTCAGCTTTACATTTTCCACACTGGAACAAGTTTTTCTATATCTTTAGCCGTATTTGATTCACGAAATTTTAAATTTAAAAAAAAATGTTTTTGAAATAATATAATGTTTAATTTTTTTATTTTTAAGATATTTTATTTTTAAATTCATTTATTTAGTTAAAAAATTTTACATATATTATTTTTTATATAATTATTATAATTTTTTTGACATAATGAAAATTTTTATTTTATTTTATTAATAATAATTTTCAAATAATAAATTATACTTTTGTAATAAATTAATATTCAAATATTTTATTTGATTATTATTTTTATTTATAAAATATTATCAATTTAAAATTATGATTCTTTAATTAAAAAATAAAAATATTATTTTTATTTAAGATGTTTATGTATAAAAAATATTTTAAATAAAAAAATAAAATAATTATTTAAGACTTTTTATGTATAAAATATCTTGAATAATTATTTAATTTTTTTATACATGAATTATTTAAATTATGTATTATTTAAATTTTTTTATAAAATAATTATTTAGCATATTTCTATAAAAAACATTTTAAATAATTTTTTTATTTTTACACTCTTTTAATTAAAAAATAAAATAATTATTTACAATATTTTTATACAAAAAATACTTTAAATAATCATTTTATTTTTACGCTTCGAGGGCGAATACAACCAAACCAATCAACTGTTGGGAGGTATTCCTGATATTTTATGGGAAAAGAAAGGGCATTTTTATTTGTATTTGGACTTTAAGGCTGATGTGCGGTGGGATCTCATATAATCATTAACAAATCATTTTCAAAGTATTTTTTTACATCATGTAAATGCCATTTATCTATATATATCATATGTTAGTGTCCAATCAAGTCGATTGAATTTTTATATAATTTTAAAATTTTATAATCATAATTATAATAAAATAAAAAATAATAAAATTATATAAATATAATAAACAACGAATATCTAAAATTGATGAATGATATCATTATTAAATAGGTAAATTTGTTATATTAGTATATTATAATATATGATATGATAATAATTGAAATTTATAAAATTAATCTAAGTTTTTCTTAAAAACACCTAAATATAATAAAGATCCTTTTTTCGATGCGAGATGGCATGTTGTCCCCCCAAAAAAACTCTTCTGTTTCTTTCAGTAATTTCCTCTTCCTTGCACTTTTATTGCTAAAAAATTGAAAGGATAGGAACACCATTTGAACCTCAATACGGTAGATTTTTTCTTTTTCTAACGCCGATTAATACATTTTTTTCCCATTATGTTTAAACAAATATGAACCAAATATATATATATATATATATATATATATGAAATACCCTTTTCAGGAGAATGTGATTCAACTAGCCCAGCTTTGATTACCTTTCGAATGCCTGTCTGATGTCACGAAATGGCAGCAAATCATCTGGTAGTGATGATTGATTGTATGTCTGCTGTCACGCTTTCCAAGATCAAGATACTGCAATTTCGTGAAATTCACGTAAGATTATTTTAAATGTTTTTTAATCTAAATATATTAAATAATAAATTATTTAAAATATTTTTCATGTCAAATCTTTAAGAATATCATTAATTATAATATCCAAAAATATATTTTAATAATAAAAACTTACAATTAAATTACTTTCAAATATATTTTTAAAAATAATAACGATTATTTTATAATTTTTTATTTAGATCAAATTTAAAAATAACATAAATTTTTTTTAAAATTTTAAAATACAAGGAAATGTGTATTTTCGTTTCTAAAATTTTAAGTACCATTAAAAATTTATTATTTTTTTTATAATTGAATTATCTTATAATTGAAATTGACATTTAAATTTAAGTGATGATATGGTAAACTTAATCACATCACATTGAAGATATGATAAAATTGAAATCTAAACTTAATGAGATTAAAAAACAGTTATTGTAATAAAATTATGTTTAATTAAAATTAATAATAAAAATATGAATTTAAATATAAATTTAATGATTGATATTGAATATAATAATTCATTTTATCATAAAAAAATAGAAATAATCTATTATTGTAATGATAAGGCGAAAACTCTTAATTTTGAGATTATTTCTTTACTTTTAAGTAGATTTTACATATGGCTAAGTTCGGGGCATGTTATCTATAGACATAAAATGTAAGTATAATTTTCGGAGAAAGACAATTGAAATTCGATTTTCTTTTTTTTTTAAATGAGGTTAAGCCATTGGTTAGAGGATTTAAAGTCTTACCTGCCGGTTCCACCACAACCCTGCTAGTATATTTCATATTTATCAGTTCCCAGAAATATTGAAGCTTACCCTAATCACTACAATTGATATTCATCGTTACCCTCCATTTTAATTTTTAGTATCTTTTGGGAGAGTTTGGGATTTTAGCATCATGGCACTACAAAGTGATCCAGCAACCTGGATTATTAGGTAAGAGAGTGCGCCACAGCCAAGTGGACATTTTCAGCTTTTATGTTCATATAATTTTCGTTGCCACCAGCACATGGAATATTCTGAACGATCCCTGTCACATGTCTGCTCCTTTTCTTCAGAACATGATTGGCTGCCATTCTTCATTTTCGATGGCCTGTCCTTGTGTACACTAGCGAATCATCAATAAGATCACCTCTGAAAGTATCTGTCATTGTAGTAAACAAAGTTGCCTCAGTCGTGTGAGCTTCTTTTGCCAGTGCGCATCAAACTTTAGTTTTGTCTCTATTTTGTGGTCCATCAGCTTTGATGAGTGCATCAAAACCTGAGAATATCAAAGTGAAGAAACTCATATTCTTCCTGGGCAAAACTTGTGCAGAATATTAATGTAAAAAAGCTTCATGCCACCGAAGTTGGTCAGAACAAGGTAAACATTATTGGGTATCGAGATCAGTGAGGGACTGAGGAAAATGCAAAAAGTGAACGTCATGGGAGTGACAGTGAAAGGGAGAAACTACGTCGATAGGATTAATTCTAAATGTTATAGTAGATAGCACCTTTCATGGAAGCAGAAATGTCAGGGTCATCACATGCAATGGAGTATAGAACTGTCATCCATGATGTTATAGAAGGTTAAGCAAAACACTCATCACACCGACAATTCACAGATTTTTCTTCACAATTTCCACACTGAACAAACATGCACAGCAAACTGGTCAAAATATCAGTTGCTTTTGAATATCCTTCAACGCCATGCTTCGATACGTTATATCCTTGAATCTATACGGCTCAATTTGCTTATTGCTTTGGTCTACTCAACAGGGTTCGTTATCTGAAGTATGGATAGCTGCCCGCTAATTTTGTTGGGAGCCTTCTTGAGACTTGAACTACTTGATTGACCAATATTATTCTTTCTAGCATTAATTAAAGTACCAGGATAGTTAGCTACAATGGCATCTGTTTCACTGCTGATGTTTCAATCAGAGCTGGAGTCTCATCAGAGATTAGCTTATGGACAGAGGGTATCAGACAGTGATCTTCTTCATCTGTTATCTCATTGTTTTGACTATAATTCCAGAAACTTTCTCTTAAAGGTTCTTCAGCAATAAATGCCAGCTCTTCCTCTTCATTATCTTTTTCAGAATCTTGAATGCAGGAGAGTGAAGGGCTCTGTTCTCCATTCTCATCGAAAGGCTCCAGACGGGATGCCAGAGTAGGCTTTACCATGCACTGAATCCTCTCTTTCTCGCCGGGTCCTTAAGATAAGTGTCTTGAGAAAGTTCATCACTAGGACTGCATACATAAGTGCAGTCAAAGGATCTGCCATCTGCAACATAAGAGCTTCAACCAACAATCAACCCAATTTGCAATAAAAAATTTCTCAAATATTTGAATAGATGAGATGGGCAAGATAATTAATAACCCTTCTGATTGACTTCTCACTCAGTGGTAAGAAAAGTGAAGATGACCAAGAGAGGTGAGATGAAAGGGACTATCATTGAATTCAGAAATCTAGTGAAATAGACATGTGAAATTCCTAGAAACTCACCTGAGTCATGTTTGGAGCAAAAGCCATAGCTATATTGTGTGCATTCATCTTGTTTAGATGTTCTTGGTGGACAACAATGCCACGAGATTGCTTGCCTAATCCAGTGGAACAGATTGTTAAAAAAGTGGCAGCTTGACCTTTGTTAAAAAAAATGTTCATGGATGGAAATGTGTTTATGGATTGGGCTGAAAGTAAATTTAATTTTAATTTATTATTAAATAGTAAAAATATATTTATATAATATTTTTATATTTTTAAAATGAAATTAAACAAAAAAAATTATTTAATAATGAAATAATATAACAAGCCCACCGGATCAAGCCCGAATTTAAGAAATCTTATTTAAGCTTTAACCCAAATCGAGCCAACTTACAAACTTGGCGAACCACCCGACCCGGATCAAGTTTAGTCGAGTGCGTGTGTTCAAGCGCGACTGATGTAGCGACTTTCCCTATCTGTCCTTAATCCTACATATTGCTTGACATTCTTCATCCCCCAAACCCCTAGCGGCTACCCTTCTTCTTCGGCCTCCCGAGGTCGCTGACGCTCTATTGAACCTATATGGTAAGCTTTACTCTTTTAACTTCTTCTTTGCTTCCATTTCTTGTTCTTTGAAGAAAATGTAGTAAAAGCTAAAGAAAATAAGAGAAAGGAGGAAAATTCTGAGAATTCTTCTGGTTTCGTTACTATTTTTCTTTACTAAAAATTAGGTTTTTCTTATGCCTATATGCTTTTTATTCGTTTTTCTTACATTTTCTCATTGACCTAATAAAGCATATGCTGAATAATTATTGCTTCCATTGTATTATTTCTTTATTTTTTATGCCGTTTAATTGTGGTGGAACGTTGTGTTCTATAATAATTTTAGTACTCTTTTAGCTTACTGGAATCATGGGATAATTCATTTTTAATCCTCAATTGTAATGCTTCAGTTGGTTTGATGATTTATTTTGCTTCGTGATGTTTCAAATGATAAGTTATTTATATTCCTAGTTGAATAGTTTTTTGATTCTTTGTTTTGTTTCCTTGTTTTGATTTTGGCAGGCGCCAAAGAAGGACAAGGCACCACCTCCGGCCTTAAAGCCTGCCAAGTCTGGTGGAGGGAAGCAGAAGAAGAAGGTGGGGTTTTCAATTCTGTTTAGCGATTAAAGATGTAGAATTTTGTTAAAGATGTGTTTAGTTGATTAGTCTTATGTATCTGATATGAGCTTTTTTGTATGTTTTTATGGCAGAAATGGAGCAAGGGTAAGCAAAAGGAGAAGGTGAACAACATGGTTCTGTTTGACCAGGCAACATATGACAAACTTCTTTCCGAGGTTCCAAAGTACAAGCTTGTTACTCCTTCAATCCTGTCTGACAGATTGAGGGTATGCCATAGTTTGCCTCATTCTTTTAGCATTTTGTTTGGGATTATTTTGGTATTATTTTATTTTGAAGTATCAGAATCTAGACTGATGAAATTGGATATATCCAATTGTTTAACCTGTGAAGAATGCTAAATTATTTTAGTCCCTATTTTAAACTTAAGAGCTTGGTACATGGATATTGAAATGGATATTCACTGTTATAATACGAGAAACCTCCAATGTTTATGTTTTCTTCTGAGAACCTTTTCCATTTTATATGTTGATTGCTTTATAACTGTTTGTCATATGTTTCAAATTTTCTTCGGGCTTTAACATGGTAATTATTTTGGATAATTTGGAGTGTTTAACAGAATATTACTGCTCTAGCACAAGTGAAATTTGTCTCTTATTTCTGTTAACCTTGCATGGTGTTCTTTGTATATTAAACCTTAATTGTATAGAACAAGAGTATGTACTTTGACAATTAGGACTTCTCTTTTCCTCGTATTTGTCAGATTTGTACTTGTTACTTAAATCTGTTTTACCAAGAAGTATGTAGCATTCTTTTTATTTGTAATGCATTGTGGAGTTCGTAATTTCTTGCTCATCTTCTGATTGTGGAAGTACTTTTATTAATTTTGGCCTCTGAATGGTAACGTGGTTTTCTTACTTTGTTCATCATCATTGTCAGATCAATGGGTCATTGGCGCGTAGGGCAATTAAGGATTTGATGGCAAGAGGTTCCATGAGGATGATTTCTGCTCATGCCAGCCAACAGATATACACCAGAGCCACCAACACCTAGATGAGGGGAAAATGCATTATCAATCTGCCTTTGATGGTTGATAGGCTGTTTCTTTTTGTTAGGGAACTAGTTTCTTTTTGATGAACTGTTATTTTACATCTTTATTTCATCCTAAATACATTTTTGCTGTTAATTTAAAGAGATGTTTATTCTATCATTGAGTATTTACATGCATTAAATGAGTAAATCATGTCCGTTAAGCAAGAGAACGGCTGAATCAACCAAGATTGGCAGACTCCAACAACCAGGATTGTTAATGCTTTTTCTAACTATGATCTTTTTGTTGGTTGGGAAAGGAAATTATTGGAAAACGGAAAATGAAAACCTGAATTATTATTTTGTTTGGATGGGTTGAAAAGGGGGAGGGAAAGGAAAAGTGAAATCTGGGGTTTGATTTTTTGATAATGTAATAAATAGAGTGATAAGAAAAAGGATAAAGTAGTTTACTTTTTTTTATCATATCACTATTTTCTAATATGTACTGATAATTTTTTTTAAAATTCAAAAAATAAAGATAAGGAGCATGAAATAAATTTCTATGTAAAATTCCTATCTTTTTTGCTTCCCATCTCATTTTAAGCATTTTATATATTTTTTTGGGTCTGGTTTTCGTACATTATTTTAATTATTTTTAATATAACCTATAGCAAATGTGTTAGTGTGCTATTTTTTTTTTTAGGATGATAATTGTGAAATTATTGATATCCAACTTCAAATCAGTTAAATGTAACATTTTAAAGATAATTATCCAATCAATTGAAATATCTTATTGATGACATGAAAAATAGTGTTAAAATAATGTAATTTCCTTCAAATTTGGGTTTCAAAGCAACTAAAATGTTTATTGAACGGGCGAATAATCTTTAAAAATGAATGGAGCCAGACAGCCCAACTTAATTTGTCTGTATGGCTATTTGTTCCAAGTCCAACCGCCTTTCTTCTCGTTCCAGACCCATCGTCCCCAGCCGACTTGCCTCCTCTTTTAACCCACCATTTTCCCGTCTTTTTTCCGAGGGTTTCATCTATCCTCAGTTCAAAACCAAAATCTGCCTATCAGTCACGAAACCCAGGTTAGCCTACAAATAATTGCTTCTCGTTTACCTTTCTTTTCTGGGTTTTGATAGACCAATAAAAAAAATGAATTCAATTCAGGCTAATAACAGAATCTTACCTAGTATCCACGCTCCAAAGTCAATCAAACCGAAATTCCTGTCTTCTTATCCGTATGTTGTCTGTTTCAATGCTAAGCTTCCAGTTACCAATTCCTTGAAACTATTTGCAACTGCATCATCATGTCAACAACAGTTTGCTCCTCTACCAAAGCACAAGAGATACGCATCGATGTCGATATTGCAGCAGGGGACTACCCCCTGCAGACTATGGGGTGAAGATACGTCGGCTGGTGACAATAAGGTAAAAGCTAAAAACCCTTTTTTTTTCTTTACTTTTTTTGGCATAAATATTCAATATATGTTTAAATGGTGGAGATAAATAAACTGATGCTTGAAACATGTTTTGTTCTATATGTAAGCTTAAGTCTTATGTTTATTGGGGGTGTATGTGTTACTTGTTGAGAATTAACTTGAGTGTGTATTACCATATTAGAAATGCTAGAACTCAGGTTGAATTGCTACTTGAGTTTCAGTTGAACTTGACAATAATTATATTGAATTTGACTTACTACAAAGTTAAGCTCGAGTTTATTAGGGTATCTTGATTCACATACACCTTGACGGATTGTACCAAATAGTTGTAGGTTCTCTTGTTCTCTAGATTGTTGCAAATTTGTGGCATGTAATTACAGTTTTAATACTTTAGTATGGAATTGAATTTCTTATTATTATCTGCAGAGTTCACTGCGGAAAGCTATTGCGAAAGCTATAGGAAGCTTTGGGGAACAACAGTCCATTGAGGATGTATTAAAGCAGCAAATTGAGAAACAAGAATACTTTGATGAAGACAGTGGCAAAAATCCACCACGTGGTGGAGGTGGCAATGGTGGCTTTGGTGGGGGTGGGTCTGGAGGATCAAAGGATGAAGGCCACTCTGGGATCCTGGACGAGACCCTGCAAGTGATCTTAGCAACCTTTGCCTTTATATTGCTGGTAAAATGTGTTTCATCTTTGATTTCTTTGTCCCTCAGAACTTAACTCCTTTCATTTTACTGTACTTGATTCTCAACTTTTTTTTCCTAGTAAAACTTGATGAAAATAATTGCTTCGCTTGGATCAATCACAATTTTTCTGATAGGAGGGCTAAATGGGGCATCCCTACTCTCTGTATCCAACCTCGCTGCTCTCCTTTCATGCGGATACACACATTGTTTCCATGCATGAACTAATAAGTTATGAAATAATAGATTTACTACTTTGCAACTGTTGTAATTGTTTGAAAGATAACATAATATTATTTTCAGGTTTTATTTTTGAAACTGATGCTCGAAAGATTATATTTACTTTTATTTGCATAGAGGAACATAAGCCTTTGTTTAAGAATACATAATCAAGCTATAACTTTTACGCATTATAAGAATTTCTTTACCCCCCCTCCCTTCCCTTTCAGCCTGTTACTGGCAACTTTCATGTACTTTAAAAATCAAAATTAAAAAAAAAAAAACTTTATGCAATCTCTGGTCTCCATGTAATTAATGAAATTTCTTCCTTTTCTCTCTGTTAAACATTCTGTAATATAGCAGATATCATATATGTATCTGATATCAGTGAAATAAAGTGTTGTCGAAAAAATGGTGTCCAATACTATGTATTTCTGAAATTTGTGGCTTGATGATACTTGCTGCAGTACTTATACATCATCACTGGTGAGGAGATTGCTCTGCTAGTAAAGGACTACATTAGGTTTCTGTCTGGTGGAAGTAAAAGTGCTCGTTTGAGTCGTTTCATGTACACATGGGGAAAGTTCTTTAAGTTCTTTGAGCTGCTGACTGAGAAGAAGAAAGATGATAAGTATTGGTTGCAAAAGGCTAAAATCACCACCCCAACATGGTATGACAGCTCCGGCAAGCACAAACGGGTCCTAAAATCTCATTTAGAACTAATTGATGATGATGATGATGAAGGTGGCGAAGATGAACAATCCTGAGTCCTGATGTAATTGTCCTTCAGATCCTGAAAGAGATTAATGAGAATGTCATTCATGACTGTTTGTGTCTCTGAAATTGTTAGTCAGTAACTAGAATCAATTTTGAGATTAAATTGTTGCATTTTGGAAAAACCTTTTTGTGTTTAGCAATTGACCAGCGAGAGTTGCTGATGATTATAACTAAATGATAGTGTTGAAAATTGATAGAAATCAAAGATATCAAAATGAAAACCAGCATTGTGGTCATAGAGTTGAAAATTGATTTTAACCGGTTAATGTATCAACACCTTGCATGGATTGATTCCTTTTTTGGACAAAAATAAACCAGCAAACTTGTTGCCTCTTTGATACCGAAAAATTAAACCCCAAAACTAATGATAGCAAGCAAATGTTTCGCCTAGCTCTAGTTTTGCAACGCACTAAGCCAAATTTTCATTTTTCCACCATCGCAGCTTTCCACAGCCATTTCTCAACCTTAGAAGAAAATCTTTGCTCCAAGTTCTTAACTTCATGCACCCAAGCCTCAAACTTACTTCATGGAAGAGCAGTCCATGCAAAATTCATCAAAGGCTCAATCCCACGTTCCCTTTATCTCCATAACCATATCCTCAACATGTACTTGAAATGTGGAGACCTCATCAACGGCCACAAGCTGTTCGATGAAATGCCTCAACGCAATGTCGTTTCATGGTCAGCCATTGTTTCTGGCTTTACACAACATGGGTTTTTCAACGAAGCTCTCTTTTTGTTTATTTACATGTTAAGGGATGGAACTTCAAAGCCTAATGAGTTCACTTTTGTTAGTGTTCTTCAAGCTTGTTCTTTGCACGAAAGTTTAACTTTAGCTTACCAAGTTTACGCTATCGTTTTACGTTTGGGGTTTGGGTCAAACGTGTTTTTAGTCAATGCTTTTCTGACAGCTTTGATGAGACATGGGAGAAAAGAGGAAGCTTTGGAGGTTTTCAAGAAGTGTTTAAATAAAGATATTGTGACTTGGAATGTTATGTTAAGTGGTTACTTGGAAAGTTCTTGTTTGGATTTGCCTGAATTGTGGGTTCAAATGAATAATGAAGGAATAAAACCTGATTGCTTTACTTTTGCAAGTGTTTTAACAGGGTTGGCTTCTGTTGGCGATTTAAACATGGGTTTACAAGTGCATGGCCAAATTGTTAAGTCTGGTCATGGTGATGAAATTTGTGTGGGGAACACTTTGGTTGATATGTATATAAAGAATCAAAGACTTTTTGATGGGTTGAAAGCTTTCAATGAAATGGGTGAAAAAGATGTTTGTTCTTGGACACAAATGGCTGCTGGGTGGTTAGAGTATGGGGAACCTGCGAAGGCATTGGAAGCTATTGGAGAAATGAGGATGATGGGCGTAAAACCCAATAAGTTTACTCTTGCTACTGCTTTCAATGCTTGTGCTAATTTGGCTTTTCTGGAAGAAGGGAAGAAAGCTCATGGATTGAGAATTAAACTTGGAGTTGAGATTGATGTTTGTGTGGATAATGCATTGATTGATATGTATGCAAAATGTGGTTCCATGGATGGTGCATGGGGTGTTTTTAAGGTAATGGATGATCGTTCTGTTGTTTCGTGGACGACAATGGTAATGGGGTGTGCACAAAATGGTCAAGCTAGAGAAGCTCTTAAGATTTTTGATGAGATGATTGTAAAGGGTGTAAAACCAAATTATATTACCTTTGTTTGTGTGCTTTATGCATGTAGCCAAGGAATGTTCATTGATGACGCATGGAAATATTTCTGTTCCATGACCATTGACCATGGTATCTCCCCTGGTGAAGATCATTATGTTTATATGGTTCACCTACTTGGTCGAGCTGGACATATTAAAGAAGCCGAAGAATTGATCTTGTCAATGCCATTTCAGCCAGGTGCAACGGTTTGGCAAACTTTGCTTAGTGCTTGTCAAGTTCATGGGGATATTGAAACTGGGAAGCGAGCAGCTGAGCATGCAATAAATCTAGACAGAAAGGATCCTTCAAGTTATGTGCTGTTATCAAACATGTTTGCTGGATTCAACAATTGGGATGATGTGGGAAAGTTGAGAGAATTAATGGGGAATAGGGATGTAAAGAAAGTACCTGGATCCAGTTGGATCAAAATAGAAAATTTATGCTCAGTACCTCCAGTACCGAAGTATTTACTTTCTTGAAGTCTGATTGTTTGAGTTTTTATAGAGGAGCTCACCAAAATTTAACTGACATAAGATAGCACTTCAGTTAAGAAACTCCAGAAAGACATTCAGCCAGTAAATGGCTTGGGAATGATATAACTTCTAACCGTGTCTAAACTTTTTCTAAAATGGATCCTGGACAGCTAGGTTGATGTGAACCGCGTTACAGGCTTAGTTGCAAAAGATGCAACTAATAGGGCTGCTGCCACTTGCTCTAAATGTTTTAGAAAGCAAAAATCAGGGTGTGTTTTCAAGTTTTACAGACTGAAGTTGTGAATGCAGGTAACAGGTAGCTCAGCAATAGAAAATCAATCTGCAGTTTCTAAAGAAATCATTAGATTTCTGATGGAGCTTAATAGAAACAGCAAACAGTCCAATAGACTGATGTAACAAACAAAGTTCTTTTGCTGGTGCAAAAGGAAAAAATTTTGTAGACGAACAAAAACTTGTATTGTGTTTATTTGGTGAAGCAATCTTTTCATAAACATGCTGAAATTCATGTCAATTTCATGTTGTAGCAGGTATTCATTTCAACTGAACTTGGAAATGATATTAACATTATTAAAGCATTCTTGTTTTTCACGCATGATTCTCACTTGCAACAAGGATTTCTATCTTTTTATTTTATTTTATTTTATTTTATGTCTTTGATTGTAGGATTCTTTAAGCATAAGCCCTTTATGTTTGCGATAGCCAATAAGTTTCTTTTTATGCTCCAACTCTCGTGCTCCAACCTGACTTAAAAACACATTCAATAATGCACTAAATTACTTGGTGTAGTAATAAATAAATATATATTTTAATTAAGGAATTGAATTTGAATCATATCTTTTTCTAAATAAAAATAATAATATTAACATTTAGATTTTTTTTTTATAATGTTAAGTGCATTGTTATCATGTCAAAAAGTCAAGATATTAGATATTAAATTTACGATTTCGTTTTTATACTGTAATAATGAAAATTTTTAATTTTATTAGCTATTTAAGAAATAGATACATGATTATTTTTTTAATATATTCTCAAAAATATTTGTTGTGAAATTAAAAATTTAACAGCGATAATTTTTCTAAATATATTTGAAATTGTAATATGCTAATAAATTTAGCTTGTACTTCATTGAAGTCAAAACTCAAATTAAAATTAGGAGAATTTTTTTGGGATAATTAAATTAGTAGGAAATTCATTGTACAGGAAAAGGAAAAAGCAAAAAAAAAAGCCACGTCACCAACCAAATCCAAGTGGTATATTCTCAGTTTCTCATTGGCTATCACCTCGTGTATCAGTCTTGCTAACATACGCCGCTGCGCTCTAGCATATACCAGCAAACCATTTACATTATTCTCCGAAAAAAATTTAATAAAAAAAAAATCCATGGCGGTTCGTGCGACCGTGTCACGGTTCCCGATTGACTCTGATACGCAAGATGCTTCCGGCGTTCCATGGGGGTTAACGGTAACGCCGTTCGCCGCCAAAGACGAGAACGGTCAAGCGCCGGTCTATGGATCGGACGGGCATCTTTTACCTCGATGCGAGAATTGCTACGCTTACTTCAACACCTATTGTGAGCTTGACCAATGGGCCTGGAATTGCTCTCTTTGTGGCACACTGAACGGCCTCTCTTCTCAAGCTATTGCCAGATACTCTCATCCTCAGTCCTGTGCCGAAATGATGTCGTCGTTTATCGATCTCGAATTGCCTTGTAAGTGTATTTGGTTGCTGAGATAAATGAAGGCGAAAGTGAGGGATAATGAAGATTTTCTTTTTATATATTAAATCATTTTGTTTTTCTTTCTTTCTTTTTTTTTTTCTGTGTAGGGGAAGGATTGGAGGATGAAATGTTGCATGCTCGTCCGGTGTATGTTGCGGCCGTTGATTTGTCGTGTGAGATCTTCGGTTACTTTGTAGATTTTCAATTTGGTGTTATTAGTTTTAATTGTTCTTTGTTGTACATTGTGATTATTTTTATTTGAATTTGAATTAGATTTAAGATTGGTGCTGAATTTTAGGGTAAAAAAATAGTTGTTTAGTTGACATTGCGGTTTATTTTTCTTCAGACAAGTTTGTCTAGATGAAATTTTGTGAGTTGGATAGTCTTGAATGATCAAAATAATTACAGAAGTAAAAGTATTGGATTTTCACTCATTATATGGTTAAGACCAATGCAGGAAGGGAAAAGTGCAAGATTTTATGAGAAGGTTAAAAGATTTTATGACAGGGGCAAAATTTTGAAGCACATTTTATATTCTCTGATACAGTCATGTTTCTGTTTATCATGCCCTCTTTTTCTTATTCTAGCTCTTGGCTCTCATGTTTCACATGTCAGAGTTGGTGTATGTACGATAGTAAACATGAATTTGCAGACACTGAGTAGTTGTTGACATCTAAGTTAATTTTATCAAAGATTGCATTTTGCGTAATTTGATCTATTTTACATTTGATGTGGGAGAAAAATATGAATGTTTATGTTGCTTGTAGTAGGATGTTAAGAAATAAAATCACTGGTTAATAACATAGTTGGCCTTTAACTCAGGTCTTCTCCTAATGTTATAGCAGATATAATGCATGATTGTTACCTCTTTACGTTCTTGTATTTATACTTTATCTAAACAGGCTTAATACTATTTCTTTTTATTTTCAGCTTCAGAAGAATTTTTGGAGCTTACTAAAAGTGCATTGCAGGCAGCATTGGAAGGTTCCTTATTGCTGGATAAAAGTGATTCATTGATTTTGTTTATTCTCAATTTTTTTTCCTTGGAAGGTTGATTCTTTTCTTTCATTTTCATTTCTATTGTAGCTCTTGCGCCTGGGTCACTTTTTGGCCTTGCAACTTTCAGCCATAAAGTAGGGTTATATGATGTTCAAGGGCCTATACCTGTTGTAAAGAATGTTTTTATCCCTCAGGATACAGAGGGCTCCTTACCAATAGAGCTTGAAGATGTCATGCCGTTGTTACAATTCTTGGCTCCAGTATGTAATCTTAATTTCTTGCCTGCCTTAATTTTTGGCCTCTGCCTGGCCTTTCATTGAACTTATGGCATGTTTGGTTCACTGTATGGGATAGGTAGGGAATGAAATAGTTATTCTGTAAGAACAGAATACATTATCTGTTTATATCTGGGATAATCCTAGTTGATTGAGCCTTCCACTTATGATGTTGTAGCATGTTCCCGTTTATAGCAATCAAATCAAGTATGTAATTTGTATTAGTAGTTTACTGGTCTTCTAAAAATCAATAACCTATGCAGGTTGAAACCTGTAAGGATCGTATCACATCTGCTCTTGAAACTCTCAGACCAACTACTTCATGGGAGAGAACCCCAGGGGCAGGTCAAGGGTTAGATGGCGTGTTGATGGGTGCTCGAGGTTTTGGTGTGGCAATGGAAGCTCTTTGCAATTACCTTGGGTCAGAATATGGAAATACATTTGCATTAGGTACGTAAAAAACTTAGAGGTTCTTCTGATTTTGCTGATGTCTTTACCTCTCATTTATTTTTGTCATCTTATATGTATAAATGAGGTGCTACATGCTGTTGTCTTCTTTGAACATAATTGCAGCTAGAGTCTTTGCCTTTCTCTCTGGTCCTCCTGATTATGGACCTGGGCAACTAGATACAAGAAGGTATGGTGAGCAATATGCTAGTAAAGGAGAGGATGCAGACCGTGCTTTACTTCCTGAGCAGACACCATTCTACAAAGATCTGGTAGATTTGGATTGACTTTTGTTTTATCTAATCTTAGTTGTGTGGATTGGAAATGTAGCATTGACATATTTTACAGGCTGCCGTGGCTGTTCAAGCAGGTGTATGTGTGGACATTTTTGCAGTTACAAATGAGTACACAGATTTGGCTTCTCTTAAATTTCTTAGCATAGAAAGTGGTGGTTCTCTGTTCTTATATTCAAATACAGATGATTCAACACTTCCTCAGGACATGTAAGTACCACATGCTCTAATTCTATCATAGCATTTTAATGGACTAAAATTATATACTATTGGTTAACGGCATAACAAAGGGATATTGTAACAATGATTAGTTATAGTTATTTCAGGTTAGATACATTTCTGATTTATTCTTTTTTTTTTTAAATATGACATTTAGTGCATATTTTTATTTCAGCACTTCTTATCTACTTGAGTTAATAACATGAATACTCCATTTCACTTCTTTTTTGATGTTATTTTGCAGGTATCGAATGCTAAGTCGACCATATGCCTTTAATTGTGTTCTGAGATTGAGGACATCTACTGAATTCAAGCCTGGCCATTCTGTTAGTGCTTACCTTGTACTTCTTTCAAGTTTTCTTACTGGAGAACTGTTATCTAATAGTTCTTGCTTTCTCACTTCTTTTGCAGTATGGTCACTTCTTCCCAGATCCACAATATGAAAATGTTCAGCACATTATTTGTTGTGATTCTTATGCAACATATGCTTATGATTTTGATTTTGCTAATAATGTTGGATTTTCCAGGTATAAATTACTCATAATAGTTTTCTTTCTTTGGCTAAACACAATTGAATTTGCTAGTATTGTTAATTGTTGAATTGGATGTAAATACATTCTCCACTATCTTGCAGTAAATTGCAGGGATCTGATCTGGCATAGAGTTTATAGCTTATATTCTACTTTATGCTTTGAGTTCTCAAGATTCAAGAAAATGTCAACTTTATACTTTATAACTTAGTGTTCTACTTTATACATTATGCTTGGTTAGGAATCTGTCTTACCATGTCTTTTCTTATCATGTGGAGAAATTTAAAGCTCAACTTAGTAACCCCGTAAATAGTTACAGATTATACAATGTTATATTCTGATTATATGTTATTTTCTTCTTTTCATTTTGTTATTTTCTTTTCTGGAACAATTGGGACCATCTAAATGCTTGATTTCCCTTTATTTCTTCTCTGTTTATTCTGCAATTTTTTTGTTGATAACCATTTCAGGAGCAATTTTGTTATACTTTTCAGATTTTTTTATCTCTTTATTTTTCCTTTGCAGACATGCATCTGAACAACCTATGGTGCAGATTGCTTTTCAATACACTGTTGTCGTGCCCCCTGAGGAACTGTCTGGATCAGGATTGGTTTCTTCCAGTAGGTATATTTTACCTATTGGACATTCTGTTCCTAAATCACACTTGCCAGCCTTGTTGATCTAAAAATTGAAAAACCCTGTAATTATACTTGAGATTTACAATCAAATTGCAAATTCTCTCATTCTTGAGGATATGAATAACTACAGCCTCATCTCGAAGTTGATGAACTGATACTTTGATTTGTCATCATTCATGCCAAAATCTTCTATATGTTCAAATTATTAGGCATGTTCAATTGACAATTTGCTTTCTGGATCTACATTTGGGGTTGGCTTGATGTGATATATTCTTATGCAGAGGCAAACATTCTCTTAAACGACGACTTAGAATACGAACTCTTCAGTATGGAACTGCCCAAAATCTTAATGAACTTTATGATGGTGTTGATCCTGAAGCAGTTCTATCATTACTTGTTCACAAGGTCTGCTTCCGCTCTGTGTCTCTCTTTGTGCGTGCTTGTGCATTTTATCTGTGTATCATCTCTAGTAGT